CTCATCTGTAAAATGGTGACAGTCACCTCTGTTACTGGACCTTTACAGTTAAGATGGACCGCCCAGCCCCCCCACTCCACCCCGTGGACACCTGCACATTATTCTGTGTGCCCGCCATCCTGGGCCGAACCAGGACTTAAAGGGTTAAACTCCAGCCCTGACCTGCTCCTGGGAGGTGATGGGCTCAGCCCTGGGAATGGCCTGGCTGATAAGAGCACTTACACAGTCACACCAGACTGTGACCAGGTGACTGCTGGTGGGCACTTTGCATCACACAGAGTCAGTTGACCTTAGGAGGGGCTGGGGACTGCAGTCAGCTATGGAGGTGGTGAACCTGTCCCTTTGTCCCACCTCCAGCAAAAACCTGGGCACCAAGGCTTAGGGTGGGATCCCTGTTTGGCAGCACACCATGCATATTGCCACCCACTGTTCCTGGAAGAATTAGGTGCTGGCCATCAACACTGGGAGGGGACAGAGGAAAGCTAGCACCGATCTCTCCCGGACCCTGCCCCATGCACTGTACCCTTGGCTGATCCTCTCTCTCTCTATATATATATATATATATTTCCCCCCAGTGGGGCTGGGGATGGGACCCAGAGCCTTGAGCCTGTTAGGCAAGTGCTCTACCACTGAGCCACACACACCCAACAAAATCCATATATTTAAAAAGTTTCAGTTGACACCTAATAATTACAAATACTTCTGAGTACAGCATATTTCAACACATGCATACCATGTGCAAAGAGCAGATCAGAGTGATTGGCCTACCCCCCACCTCACGTCGATCATTTCTTTGTGTCAGGAACATTCAAAATCAGTTATTTTGAAATATGCAATTAGTTGTTATCAGCCATAGCTACCCCGCTGCGTTATAGAATGTTAGAAATTATTTCCCCTATCCAGTGTGCACCTGTGATCCCAGCAGCCGGGGAGGCTGAGGCAGGAGGATCGTGAGTTCAAAGCCAGCCTCCTCAATTTGGTGAGGCCCTAAGCAACTCAGTGAGATGCTGTCTATAAATAAAACATAAAAAGGGCTGGGGATGTGGCTCAGTGGTTAAGCGCCCCTGGATTCAATCCCTGGTACCAAAAAAAAAAAAAAAAAGAAGAAGAAGAAGAGATGAAGTCCGCTCTCCAGCTGTATGCCTGGCCACTAGCCCTCCTCCCTCTTCCTTCTCCAGTGGCTGGTTCTGGCCTGTCCACTTTGATCAACCCTAACCATAACCTGCAGTGGCTTTTCTGAAATTATAAATTCTTCTGTCAAATCATAGACCCTGAAGGTCTTGGGGCTCCTGAATGACAGCGATCCTGGGTGAACCAGGCAGGAGGGGACAGCCAGAGCAGGCACAGAGGCAGCACAGAGCGGGCCCTGGTCGGGGGAGGCTGCCTGCGGATACCTGGCTAGAGTTTATTCAAGGCTGGTTCCTCAGTTTCTTGGCACTGCGGCACTTGGGGACACACCATTCTTCATGGGGGGGGGTGTCCTGGGCACTGTGGTCTGTTTTGCATCTCTGGCCATCCCCGTTGGTGACAACCCAAAGTGCTGCAGGCAGTGCACGTGTCCCTGGGGGTGGGGCAGCAGGCCCCCGGGCCTGGCTTGAAGGGTGCTCAAGGTGTGTGGACGCGGGAGGGCGGGTGGCGGGTGGAGTGGGGTCCGCCCTGGGTATCCTTCTTGCCCGCGGTGCCAGGCTGTCTCCGGGCACCCTCCAGTTCCCTGGCACACCTGGGCCCAGGCTCAGCTTACACGGAGGCCCCAGGGGACCCAGGTGTGGGAGAGACTGGCTGGTCCCTGGGTCCCAAAACCCAGCACCAGGAAACGGCGGTTGCTGTGGTGACCCCTGAGCTCTCAGGGCGGGGACCCGGGAAGGCTGCGGGGTGTGGAGGAGGCGGCATCCAGGGGCCCCAGTTGGGAGGCCACTGGCCAGAGCCCTGTTAGCGCTCGCAGGCCCAGGAGAGCGGACGGGGCAGCAGCCACCCTCCTGGGCGCCGAGGGGACGGGGCTGCCAGCGGCTGAGGGCTCCATGGAGGGTGACACAGCCGGACCCCCTGATGGCTTTGCCATCTGGCCTCCCAGGAAGGTCACCTGGCCACTGGCGTGAGGTTCCTGGGCCTTAGACCCCTTCCCAGGAAGGGAGCGTCCAGGTGGGTGGGCAGCATGAGCTTGGAGCCCCTCAGCCCAGGCACCCGCCGGCGGCTTCTCCACGGGCAGCCAGGTCCCCTCCCGGAGCCTCCACCCAGCAACGTGGCCATCTTCATCAGCTCCACCGTCTCAGGTAAGGTGCAGGCAGGACTGAGGGCCCCGGGCAAGTGGGCAGTCTTGGGGGTGCCAGGGTAATAATGGACATGGTTCACAGGGTCCTCCAAGAGACCTTCATGTGAATGCAGCTCAGCTAGTGACCCACCTGGGAACCAGTGAGCGGGAGCCTCCTGGACCCTCTGTCTCCTCCTCCATGAGCTGGGCTGAGAGCCGGCTTAACAGAGTTGTCGTGAGTGGCGTATGATATTGCAACTAATATCTATAAGACATGTGCATATACTGGGCTTAAAAAGTGCCAGATTCTTGCCACAGCTACACGATCCTGCGTGACAGGACCCTGTCCACCTCCCTAACTGTATCTCATACGATCTTCAATTCGTCCGAGTGTCGTAGCCACACTCGTGTCTGGCAGGTCCTGGAACCACGAAGCCCTGAGCCTCGCGTCAAGACCCTCACCCCGAGGTCCCCTTCCCTGGGCCTTCCCATCTGTGGGTTTCGGCATCAACACCTCCTCTTCAGGGAGTCCCCTCTGCCCCTGTGGAGAGTGGGTCGACCCTGTTCTCCAGCACAGCCCACCGTGGCTTCCCAAGCAGCACTTTTCATAAGTTGCCATCATTGAGTTTGTGTCCCCTGCCACCAGGCCGTGAGCTTCACAAGAGCCACAACCACATAGAGCCATGTCCTGGCGAACGGTTCATGATTGTTTTCCAAAAGAGAAAGCAAACCCACAAATACCACCCACAGCCAAACACCCGATCCAGGTTGGCTGCCAATTTCTGTGCTGTAAATATTCCCCCTACAGCTTCGAGCTGCCAATCGAATTTACCAAACCATGAAGTAGCACACCATGATCTACCATTTCTATTATCCCAAGTTGGTATTTTTTAACAGCTTCAAGTGCAAAGCTCATGGTAAATGGAGTCAGATAGGGGCTGGGGTTGTGGCTCAGTGGCAGAGCGCTCGCCTCGCACGTGCGAGACCCTGGGTTCGATCCTCAGCACCACATACAAAAAAATAAACAAGTGAAATAAAGGTGTTGTGTCCAAATACAACTAAAAAAATAAATTTAAAAAAATGGAGTCAATAATTTGGAGGTGATGAGTTTTGCCTTCTTCACAATCTTGTCTTTTAGTGTACTGTCTTCCGGTGTAAGTTCAGTTTTTTTTTTAAATTTTTAAAACAATCTGATTTAATGTTAATATGACTATGAATAACCAGCTGACATTTTTTAGTTAGTAGCGCTCTCTCTCTCTCTCTCTCTCTCTCTCCCTCTCTCTGCAGTGTTGGGGATTGAACCAAGGTTTTCTCACATGCTAGGCAAACACTCTGTCACTGAACTACATCCCCAGCTCTTTTATTTTATTTATTTATTTTGGGGTACCAGGGATTGGACTCAGGGACACTCAACCACTGAGCCACATCTCAGCCCTATTTTGTATTTTATTAGAGACAGGGTCTCACTGAGTTGCTTAGGGCCTCACTAAGTTGCTAAAGCTGGCTTTGAACTCGCGATCCTCCTGCCTCAGCCTCTGAATCGCTGGGATGACAGGCCTGAGACCCTACACAGGTTAATTACATATCTCTCCCTGGCTATTGTGCCATTGATGCTCACCAAGGGTCTGGGCGCAACGTAACTGTCTGACAAATATTTTACGGACACGTTTAAATAGCCTGAGGCACTGGTAAGGCAGGACGAGACCTTACTACACTGCAGATGGGGATGATGACGAGGGGAGTAGGAGGCATATCCAAGACTGGACACCAGGGTCGGCCATCATGCTAAGGCCCCTAGACAGATCTAGTTTATTTCATTTTATTTGCATCAGTAGTTCTGAGAAACTCCTCTCATGGATACCAGAGTGACAACCCCCTGGTCAAACAGAAAACAAAGATTTCTTCACTCAGAGCTACTTGGGAGATTCAGTGATCCAACTGCACTTCCTGGGTTGGGGGCTGAGACTTCATCAATGTCCAAGGCAAGTCCTTGACTTTGGGGAGCCTGCAGCCCTGCAAAGAGAGGCACCACCCCCATTTTATGGAAAGGGAAACTGAGGATAGCCTGACACTTGGCACAAGACTACACGGTGCAGTCACTGGTGGGGACGGTCTTGGGGTCTAAGCTTATACTGGGCCTGGCTGCCAGATTTAGAAAAACAAAACACAACAGCCCACACCACCAGGATGTCCAGTTCAATTTGACCAATATCCTTTAGCATAAGTATATCCCAAATACTGCATGCAATGGGACATACTTAGCTAACGAGGTATTCCAGAGCTTATGTGGAATGCAGATTCAGCCAGGCATCCCGTGTTTTACCTGGCCACCCTCATCTAGGGTGGGTGACCAATCGTCTTGGTTGGCCCAGGACAGAGGGGAAAGTTTCTTGGGATATGGGATTTAAATAGTTTGTCCTGGGAAAGTCCCAGGCCCCCAGAATGGCTGGCCTCCCTGGGTTTGCTTATTTATTTATAGCTGTAAATGGACACAATACCTTTACTTTATTCATTTATTTTTATGTGGTGCTGAGGATGGAACCCAGGGCCTCGCTCGTGCCAGGCAAGTGCTCTGCCCCTGAGCCCCAGCCCAGCCCCTTCCTTGAGTTTACTTGATGGTTTCTGTATCTTTGATTTGCTCCAGGCGGCTCTGGCCTTGGTGGGGACACAGGAGGCGATAAGCAGAGCTTTGGGGCGGGGTGGGGAGTTCGGGTTGCTTCCCGCTCACAGCCTCGCGGCGTTCCTTGCAGATATGGATGCAGAGAGGGAGGCCCTGCAGTCTGCCGCCTGCCCACAAGTGCAGACCTTCTGCCAAAAGCACGGCCTGACATTCGAGGTAAGGGCTGCCTCGAGCCATCGCTGGAAGGGCTCCAGGCCGGCTTAACGCCTTCCTTGTTGGGTCTTGAAAGTCACAGTGATTTTAAAACAGGAGATCTGCTGTGCTTTTGCCCTGGGCCCTGCAAACCCCCCTGCGAGGTGGCTGTGCAGAAAAGGTCGTGGGACAGAGACAAGCAGACAGGAGCATTAGGGCCGTGGGCCTGGGGCTGGCCCTGCGGGGGGCAAGGCATCATGGCTAGGAGAGATTGCTTTGGAGCCCGGGTCCACCACTGCCTCCCTGAAGGTGTGACCTTGAGCATGTCATTTAACTGTCAGCTTTCGTCCTGCCCTGGGGGCCTCCGTGTCCCGGGGGCAGCTTCGGGAGGAAGTCAAGACTCTCCGTGGTTTTGGGGGTGAGGATGGCGGTGGGATGTTCTTCTTCCTGGAGCACTGATGTTTTGCTCACTGGGCACAGTCCCCACGGTCCCCACACAGGGTCTTCTATGACTCTTGGACTAATCCCAGTCTGGGGATTCGGTTTCTTGAACTTCTCAATGCAGAAACTGAGGAACCGTCTCTGGAGTCTCAGCTGGAACTGAGGCTGCCTCCTTGGATGTACAACAGCGATTCATAGCATCAAAGTCCCGTTTGATTAAAAGATGAAGCACCATTTAGAGAGTACTAAGAAAGAAGTCATGCTGGGAATCCGCTCTGTCATTGATTGCGAGAGAGAGTTCAATGTCAGAGGCACTAACAGGAAAACAGGTGGACAGCAAACTGCTCAGACCCCTGTGGTTGTTTGATGCCCACACCCGAGCTAAGTGCTGGACCTTGAGTGTCCTCAAGGCAGTCAGGAGACAGTGGTCCCAGGCAAAAGCCCTTCCTAAGGCCGGTCTTGACTCTTTTCCCTTGTCTGCACCCATGACTGAGGATCCTGCCCTGTTTCCCTCCGGCCACCCTCAGTCCCACTGCTAGTTTACCCCTGGCTGCAGTTTGTGTTTCTTTCTCTCTGAGCTAAAGATGTTAGGAAGAAGACAGCTGTCCCGAGACCATCTTCTCCCCTCATTCCAGACTCCCCCAGGCTCAGCTTTGCCTCTTGAATTGAACCATCCTGCCCGCCTCCCTCCTGGCGTGCGGTTGCCAAGGAGACCTGGCTGCACCCAATTTCGGTCCAACTAAATACCCTCCTTTACAAAGAAGGATCTGGAAGCATGCATGGACCCATCTTCGTTTAAAAAGGAGCAGTTTGAAAACACCCGGTTATCTTTCTCAAAATGGTTTTCAAATGTCGTTTTCAAGTAGATCTTTGACTTTGGGTTTAGGTTGACAGGAAGTTTGCCTGACAGTACAGAGAGTTCCCCTGCACCGCCTCTCTCCCACTGTTAAGATCTCACCAACCCGGAACAACTGCCTTGCCATAATTGTAACATTTTTTACAACTACCAAAGCCACATGGGTACATTGCTATTAAGCAACCTCCAGATTTTATTCCACGCGGCCAGTTCTTTCTGGTGGAGGATCCCACCCAGGGTCCCACCTGGTAGGCTGCCCTGGACTGTGACAGTCCTTAGTCTTTCCTTATTGTTCACGGCCGTGGCTGCCTAACGGAGGACCCGCTGGGCATCCTGGATCACTCCCTGCCCCCTAATCTGGGTCTACCTGATTTTTTTTCTCATGATCACGCAGAGATTATGGATATTGTTTAAATTCTTTTAATCCAGAAATCCTCCTAGTGTCAAAAATTATAAAAAGGAGCTGGGCTCGATGGCACATGCCTGTCATCCCAGTGGCTCGGGAGGCTGAGGCAGGAGGATCACGAGTTCAAAGCCAGCCTCAGCAAAAGTGAGGTGCTGAGCAACTCAGTGAGACCCTGCCTCTAAATAAATAGAGCTGGGGATGGGGCTTGGTGGTAAAGTGCCCCTGGGTTCAATCCCTGGTTCCCCCTCTCCCCCAAAAAAATATTGAAAGGAACTTTATGCTTTTGTCAAAGGGAGTTGAAAAAAATCACCCATCATGTCACCTCCCTGACAACCCCCACCCTTATAATCCCCAGGTTGTTGATCTGAGGTGGGGAATTCAGAACTCGGAGGCCACTGACCACATGACCACCGAAATCTGCTTGGAAGAGCTGGACCGGTGTCGCAAGACGTCCATCGGGCCAGCTTTTGTTGTGAGTCCCTCGGGAGGGAGGGGGAGACCTTACTGCCTTTTCCATCTCCAGGATGTGGGCCCTGATCCCCAGCCAAAGCAAACAGAGGAGGGAAGCGTGTGGCATTTCTCGGTCATACCTGTTCCCAAAGCCTGCCCAGGGCAGACATGGCCAATGGATCCCGCATTCTTTCTGCGGCCCTAGCTGGGATCGAGGCATTACTAGTCAAATGAAGCAGCAGAGGAGCTGGAGGATAGAATGTTAAAGCTGGAAAGAATCTTAGAATTTGATGGAACCTTCCTCCTCCTTCCCCCCCTTCATGTCTGTGTGACTCTGGGAAGCCAGAGGGAAAGTGGGAACCCACAGGGTTTGGGGAATTCTTTTCTCCGTGTACCCGTGGATGGCAGGTGCACGTTCCATGGCTAGCCGTCTCTTGTGGCTTCCCAGGTGTGCCCCCTTGTTCATCAAAACAATCCCCAGCTCACAATGAACAGGGTGAACCTTGGTCCTTGAATTATATTTCAGCACCTTGGCTTAATGCCACATCAAGTTCCAGATCCATCTGAGAAGTCTGACATTTCTCTCAAGCCCTAGAGCGGAGGCTACCAAACTACAGCCTGTGGGACAAACCTGGCCCGGGGCTTGTATTTGTAAATACATTTTATTGTCCCTCAGCCACTCCCATCTATTTACATAAAGTCTGGGACTGAATGATAGCGAGCTGGGACTCCTTGACCTGGACCCTCTGCACTTCAGAGGCTAAAATACGGACAGTGTGGCACTTTCCAGAAAAAGTCTGACAACCCTTATTCTAGTTAGCAAAGAAGGAAAAAAATAAAGTATCTTTGCCCCACTTGCCTTTAGCGTTTAGCAGCTCCAAATAAGAGGAAAGAAACTCTCCCAGAGATAAATTAAAAAAAAAAAAATGTAGGAGAGAGAGCTGTTTGCTGGGGTGGGGGTGGGGGACGAATGGACAGAGTCTCTCTGGCTGTAGCATTGCAAGGATCAAGAATCACGTGAGCAATGCAAGTTAGACTAATTAAAATCAAATAGAATTAAGATTTCAGTTCCTCCTTTGCACTGATTGCATTGCAGCAAGAGGGTGTCATGTTGGACAGCACAGATTAATATTCTCCCAGCTTTGTAGAAAGTTCCATTGGATAGTGCTGCCTCATAGATTAGACCTCCCTCGAGAGCAAAACCAACCAACCAACCAAACTCAGACCCAGGCACGGGCTGAGAGAGCCTTCTGCATTCTACATTACTGTAGGTAGGGCTGCTCCTGTGTGGGCCTATTTTTGCTGGGTTCGTCTCTTCATATATTAGCACTGATTTATTTGAATGATTCTTGCTTTAAAATGTGTTCTAACATCTGGAAGGTTCCACAGCCCTGCTTAGAAATTCCCTTCACAATCATTTTTCTGGTTTTTAAAATTTAATTTTCCAAAGGAACTCCGTGATCATGCTGTTGAGTTTCCAAGGGGGAAAAAAATGTTTGAAAACAGAAAACAGAGAGCGAGGGAGAGAGAAAGAGGGAGAGAGAGAGAGAGAGAGAGAGAGAGAGAGGCGGGGGGGGGGGGGGGGGGGAGAACTCTAGGAGGAATTAGGTTTTGCAATCCAAATTGCAGGCAGCAAAAAGCACATCTCGGCCTCCAGATGGCTGGGAGATGGAGGATGATCTCCAGGCCTCCCCAGGTCTAACCAGTCAGCCTGGGAACCTTCCAGAAGGGCTCCAGGGCCGGTGACCTCTGCTCACTCTTGCTTCCCTGTTGAACCCGGCCCTGCCCCTCCACTGTCCGAGATGCCCACCACTGTTGTCCTCCAAGGCTCTGATCTGGGGGACTTTCCATGGAAATCCGCTGTGCTGGGAGCCTGGAGGCGGCTCTGGTAAACAAGCCATTAGGCAGCACATCAGCAGGGGACGGCTCCCCACGGCGCTTCCTTTTAGAGGTGTCTCTTGGGACACCAGCAGCTCCAGTGTCTCCAGAGCCCCAAGTCGCTCCTGCTGGGAGCTCTTCCTATTTCCCTGCTCCCATGCACCAGCCAGGGCTCCTCACCCTGATCTCCACTGGTGGTGACTTTTCCAATCTTTCTGGTTCCTCCAAGACCATTACTGTCGAAGGGACCCAGGCCCTTCAACGTCCCATCATCCTCGATTCCCTTTATCCAGCTTTCCCAGGAACATACCCCTGGAATATTCTGGAACAACCCAATGGGGTGGGTGATTGCTTCCATCTTACCATGAGGAAATTCAAGACTTTGGCACCAACCTGAAGTGGTTTTTGTTTTTGTTTTTGTTTGGTACTAAGGGGTTGAACCCAGGGGTACACGACCACTGAGCCCCATCCCCAGCCCTATTTTGTATTTTATTTCGAGACAGGGTCTCACTGAGTTGCTTAGCGCCTCACTTGTGCTGAGGCTGGCTTGGAACTCACAATCCTTCTTCCTCAGCCTTCTGGCCACTGGGATGACAGGCGGGTGCCACCGTGCCCAGTCTGCACTTAGTAATCATCAACCTTGGCATTACCGCAGGCCCACACTCAGGGGGTTCATGAGCTCCTCTCTGGGCTCAGAGCTGAGTGCCACTTGGAGATCTGAAGCTGTACTCCCCTCTCTGCCCATTTCTCTGCCAGGCCCTTGTAGGTGACCAGTATGGCCCCTGTCCAGTCCCCTCAGTGATCGAGGAGAAGGAGTGGGAGGCACTGAGGGCCCAGCTGACCACCAGGCCACGTGACCTGGAGCTGGTGGCAAGACGCTTCCGGAGAGACGAGAACTCAGTTCCTCCTACCTACGTCCTGCAGGCGACAGGTGGCAGAGAGGCTCCTGGGCCTGAGGAGGCCACTCTGACCTCTGTCCTTCGCTCTGGAGCTCAGGAGGCCTGGAGGCGGGGCCTCATCAGCCAGGAGCAGTGGCACCGCCACCACCGGTCAGGTGAGGCTACAGGGAGCCCCTCCGTGGTGCACGTGAAATGGACCGTGTACCCAGAATGTGCATCTCCAGGGCCCCAAATGCAGCCTTGCCGTCAATGCCAATCCCACCTAGCGCCCAGACGTGCGCTCTGGAAAAGGGATTTTACTGCTGCAAGATAGTGCAACAACAAGTCCTCTGTGATCTTGACCTTGGGACCCTCCGCATTTCCCTGGATCCTTCAGCCTTTCTCCCAGAAAGGCCTCTGGTGTGGGGTGGGGGAAGAATTCTAGGGTCACCACCATCCCAATTTGCCTGGAATAGAGGGCTTCGCAGGATGCAAGGTTTGTAGCCTATGATTTTAGCAGCTCAGGAGGCCGCGGCAGGAGGATCACAAGTTCAAAGCCCGCCTCAGCAATTTAGCAAGGCCCTAAGCAACTCAGTGAGACCCTGTCTCTGAATAAAATACAAAATAGGGCTGGGGATGGGGCTCAGTGGTGGAATGCCCCAAGTTCAATCACCAGTACCAAAAAACGAGAAAAAGATTTGTAGTGCTAAAACCTAGCTTAGTCTCAGGCAGAGTAGAAGAATTGACCCCCCGTGGTGGCCCAAGAGCAGCCCCTGCTGAGAGGCGCTGATCTGGCCCTGTGTGTGTGTGTGTGTGTGTGTGTGTGTGTGTGTGTGAGTCTCCAGACTTCTGGCACCTGCCTCTGAGGTGGAACCAGGCGCACACAGGAGGGAGGAGTCGTGGTCGCCCAAGGGGGCGGGTCAGGAACACTGAGTTTATCCCCAGCCCTCCAGCCTATGGTGGCTCCACCTCCCCAGAAGGTTCCTGTCCCTGGGAATCCCTCCACTGCAGAGGACTTCTGTGCCCTCCCCGCCCTCCTGGCCACAGCCCCCCACCCCTCACTCTCGTCTGTCTTCCACACTCACTGCTAGAAAGATTTTTTTACAAACACAACATGACCAAGTTGTTTCCACCACTGCCTGCCGTCCAACAGAGATAGGCTCTTCTCTATCTATGAGTTAGTAGGAGGTCAGCATATGGATTTTGAGGAGGTAAATGTATATCACAGTAGCCCTCGCTTATCCACAGGGGGTACATCCCACAATCATCCAGTGGAACCCAAAACTGCAGATAGCACCAAGCCCTGCATAGGTTGAGTTTTCCCCTTTATAGACATATCTCTGATCAAGTTTAATTTACACTTAGGCACAGCAATAGCTTAACACTAACAAGTAACAATATAGAACCATTTATAACCATTGACTCTAATAAAAGTTTGCACTTAGGGACCATTATTAAGTAAAATGAAAGTTACTTGAACACAAGCACTGTGGTACCCCAGTGTTGGTCTGATAACCCAGACGGCTACTGTGACTAATGAGTGGGTAGCATATACAGCCTGGATACGCTGGACACAGGGATGATTCAGGTGCCAGGAGGGATGGAGCAGGATGACACAAGATTTTGTCTCAGGACACAGAATGGTGTGCAATTTAAAACATGAATTATTTCAAACCACCATTGACCTCAGGTAGTTGAAAGCACAGAAAAAGGAGGACTATTAACTAAAATATTAAATATATTCATTTCTACCATCAACATATTTAATACATGAATTTATATTCTCAACATTAAATATATTGATTCATATCAATATATTGAAAGAAGAAATTTATATAAATATGATTTTACTGTACATTTGCTAAAACTGGTCTGCGACAGTTTCACATTCTTTCCTTGTTCTGGGTGACCTTGACACCCCACCCCCACCCCCGGCCACACACACAGAGTTCAGGGAATGGAACCAGCTCTCACACATGCTGCTAGGCAAGTCCTGCACCACTGAGTCTCACCCTCAGACTTTTAAATTTTACTTTAGTTTAAATACATTTTTTTTAAGATTTTGTTTTTAGTTGTAGATGGACACATTGCCTTTATTTTATGTGGTGCTGAGGATCAAACCCAGGGCCTCACACGTGTTAGGCAAGCGCTCGACCACGGAGTTACAACGCCAGCCCCTTTTTTATTTTATTTTGAGACAGGGTCTCATTAAATTGCTGGGGCTGGCCTTGAACTTGTGATCCTCCTGCCTCAGCCTCCTGAGAGCTGGGATTGCAGGCTGCACCGTGCTTGGCAACCTTGACACTTTGGAGGAAATCTGGCCAGGTCTTTTCTAGCATGTCCTTGGTCTGCTGTTTCCCTGAGGTTAGGCTGGGATTCAGGGTCTGGGTTCTCCCTCTCTCTCCTGCTGCACCCCCTTTTCCCCTGCCTTTCCCTGCTACCTGTTTATAACCACACTCTGTTTCCCCTGAACCCCCAGCTCTTGGCAGCCTCGAATGCACCACCATCTCTCTAATGTGTCACTTGAACAATACACAATGGAAGCTCACCATCTTAACCTTTTGAGACTGGCTTCTTTCCCTCCCACGTAGAATGCTCCGCTTCTCCCAAGCATTATTCCATAGAAAAGTCTCACAACAGCGCCCCCATCAGGATGGACGGGTACACCCACATTACAGGGGAGAAAACAGGCTCAGAGAGGTACAGAGATTTTCCCAAAGCCACACAGTGACTGAGAAGGATTCCATTTGGGAATGTAGTTGCCTTCATCCCTACCTTCCTCCCTTGAGGCCAAGGGGTCGTGAGGGCTCTCAAAGGAGGATTGTGTGTGTGTGTATGTGTGTATGTGTGTAATTGGGGATTGAACCCGGCAGTGGTGGTGGGGGGGTTCAGCTATATTCCCAGCCTTCTCCCTTTTCTTTTTCTACTTTTTTTTTTTTGGTCCTGAGGAGCGAACCCAGGGGTTCTTAACCACTGAGCCACAACACCAGCCCCCCTTTAAAAAATTATTTCAAGATAGGGTCTCACCAAGTTGCTGAGGCTGATCTCAGACTTCTGCCTCAGCCTCCCAGGTAGCTGGGAAATCAGGTGTGCACCACATCTGGCCAAGGAGAACTTTTGGGCGGCTCCTAACTTTTTTAAAATATTTTTTTAGTTGTAGATGGGCACATTGACTTTATTTTATTTACTTATTTATTTCATGGGGTCCTGAGAATCAAGCCCAGTGCTCCACCCCTGAGCCCCGACCCCTGCCTGCGGCTCTTAACTCTGACTTGCCGTAGTCGTTCCCCAGGGCCCGGGGCCTTCAGCAGCAGAGAACTGGGAGCCTCCGCTGAGCCCAGAGCAGCTTCAAAAATAACTCCTCCCGTCAGACTCCTTCAAAACAACAGCCTCCAAGGAGAGTCAGGGTGGGCCCTGGTCCTGGAAAATGTGGGTCCTGGGGCAGCGGCTGCAGGCCCTGGGGCAGGGGTCGGCCAGCCTGGGCTGCGGCCAGCTCCGTCAGCTGCCTGATTTTGTCAATGCAGCTTTGCTGGCACGTGCCCAGGTGCTTTCGTCCGCACGCTGCCTGGTTACAGTCGTGCCCTGGCAGCTGGGTCTGCTGTGGTGACCGAGACCGCCTGGCCTGGGAGGGCCTCGGACACTTACTCTCTGGCCCTTTATGCTTAAAGGCACTGATCCTTGCTCTTAGGACAGAATGAACTGCTGTCTCCCCACGGAAGCCAGTCTCATTAAAAACTCCCAGCTTCCCACCTTTTGCAGATGCACGTGTGCGCGCGTGTGCGCACACACACACACACACACACACATTTTTCCTGTAGCTTCAAATACCCACTTGTCCTTCTCGGTTGGGAAAGACCAGCTGTTTCTCCACCAGCTGTCTGTCCGTTTATGCTGCCATTTATTCATTTAGACAGGAATGTCCACTCTGCCAGGGCAGGGACCTGTGTTCCCAGTGTGGAGAGCAGAAGCCGGCACAAGTAGAAGCACAATCAATGCTTGTTGATGGAATATGTGAAGGAGGCACCTGAAATAGACACACTGGATTTTTTTTTTTTTTTTAATTGAGCTGAGTTCACATAGCATAGCATTCACCTTTGGAAAGGGAACGATTTGGTGGCATTAGGTACATTCACAATGTTGTGCAGCCAGAATATTTTCATCCCCCTGAAAGGAGACCCCATCCCCTCTAGCAGTCACTCCCCACTACCCTCTCCGTGTGCTTGGCAGCCACTGATCCACTTTCTGGCTCTATGGGTCTGCCAGGTCTGGACCCCGGACTTCAGAGGGACCACACACCCTGTGGCCTCTGCGTCTGGCATGACATTTCTGAGGTTCCTTTGCCTTGCAGCAGGTGTCAGTGCCTCACCCCTTTTCGTGGCTGTACAATATTCCACCGTGTGGCTGAACCACATTTTGTTCATCACTTTATCCAATGCTGTACGTTTAGACTGTCTTCACCTTTGGGCTGCTGTGATTGAGGGTGTTCGAGTGTTTGTTGAATACCTGTTTTCAGTTCGGGGCAGAGTTCTAGGAGTGGAACTGCTGGATAGCTGGGTGCTGTGGGAACTCGGGGCTGACTTTTGTATTATTTGATGATGGGCTGCTTTTCCACATGAGCTGGTTGCTGCAGAGGTCAGTTGATTAATAATGGTGGCTAAATCGGTGCTGGTCCTGGACCGGCGGTCCCTGCAGGCTTGTTGGACGTGCAGACTCACAGGCCCCCGTGAGTTCTGAATCAGAACTTCTGGAGGTGGGTCCAGCCCTGCGGGTTTTGGGAAGGTGCCCAGGTAGTTCCACCACATGCTGAACTTGAACCCGGGACCCAGGGACCCCCTGCTGACCAGCCTTTCTACCCCTCTGCTTTGCAGTCATCGAGTGGGAGATGGAGCGGGGCCTGCTGGGCTCAGCGGCCGGGGAGCAGGGCGCCACTGTCTTCCTCCGAGAGATCCAGGACCTCAACAAGCACATCCTGGAGGATGGCGCCCTCAAGATGGTGGACCGGCTCGCAGACGGCTGCCTGGATACTGACGCCCAGAACCTTCTGAGGGACCTCAAGGGGCGCATCACTGACACACACCCCGGGGTCCTCAAGACCCACCGCCTGCCGTGGAGCCGAGACCTGGTGAACCCCAAGAACAAGGCTCACGCCCGCTACCTCCGGGAGCTGGGAGAGCAGTTTGTGGCCAGGGCTGACCACCAGGTCCTCGAGCATCTCCGGGAGCTGGAGCTGGCCAGGCACGACCTGGCCTGGCTCTACCAGGAGATCCGCCACCACCTCTGGCAGAGCGCAGAGGCCACCGGGACCTTCTGTGGCCGCCGGGAGCTGCTGGCTCAGCTCGGGCAGCGGCTCAGACGAGACGACAGGCAGCCCCACGGCCCCGTGGTCCTCTTCGGCCCCCCGGGCGTCGGGAAGTCTGCCCTGATGTGCAAGCTGGCTGAGCAGATGCCTGGGCTGCTCGGCCACAAGACGGTGACGGTCCTGCGGCTGCTGGGGACTTCGCAGATGAGCTCCGACGCCCGCAGCCTCCTGAAGAGCCTCTGCTTCCAAGTGTGCCTGGCTTTCGGGCTGCCCCCGCCGCCCCCCCAGGTCCTGGAGGCCCAGGCCAGGGTGGCCCAGCTCCTGCGCGGCCTCCTCCACACCGTCTCCCGCAGGAACTTCGAGTCCCTGGTGCTGCTGCTGGACTCCGTGGACGACCTGGACTCTGTCCGAGGCTCCCGGAGGATCCCCTGGCTGCCTCTCAGGTGTCCCCCGAAGGTGCACCTCATCCTCTCAGCTTGCTCGGGGCAGCGGGGGGCTCTGGACACCGTGCGGCGGACGGTCTCGGACCCCGAGGCCTACTGGGAGGTGAGGCCCCTCTCTGGGAACCAAGGACAAGAAATGATCCAGCTCCTGTTGGTGGCAGCAAGGAGGACCCTGAGCCCCACGCAGCGGGACCTGCTCTGGGCCAGCCTTCCAGACTGCGGTCACCCAGGGCGGCTGAGGCTGGCTTTTGAGGAGGCCCGGAAATGGGCCTCCTTCACCGTGCCCGCGCCCTTGGCCTCCACCGCCGAGGAGGCGACACACCAGCTCTGTGCCCGCCTGGAGCAGACGCACGGGCAGCTCCTGGTGGCCCACGTGCTGGGTTACATCGTGTCTTCCCGGTAAGGCCCAGTCGGTGTGGCTTTATTGTCTTGTTATGAGTCGTCGGGGTCGTGGTGGGCTGGGCTGGACCCCAGGGCCTTGGGCGGGCTCAGCACATGCTGCGCCCCAGAGCTGCACCCCAGCCCTTCAGCTCTTTTTAAAATCGAGATCTAATTTATCATTGGTTTCTTGGGCTGCTGTAGAAGTCGCAGCTGGGGGGCTTAGCATGATGGAGTCATTCTCCTATGGTTCTGGAGGCCAGAAGTCCAGAATTACGGTGCGGCAGGGCCGTGCTCCCTCCAGGGGCTCTGGGGCGGGCCTGCCGGATGCCTTTTTCCCTGATTCTGGTGATGCAGCCGAGCCTGGCATCCCTCACCTGTGGGTGGGACGCTCCAGTCTCTGTCTCTGTCCACACAGCTTCCTCCTCCCTGTGGGGACCACACACTGAGTTAAGGCCCACCCTGGTTCAGGACGGTGTCTTTGTATCTAGGTTACCTCCAAAGAGGGCAGTGAGGTTTTTTTAAGTCAGCTCACATTCCCAGGCTTTGGTGGGCACAGATCCTGGGGGGACACTCTTCTTCAGCCCAGTACAATTCACACAATGTAAATTATTTCTTTTAAAAAATCTTTAAAATTTTTAATTGATTTCTAGCCAAGGGTGGTGGGCACGCCTGCAACCCAGCAACTTGGGAGACTGAGGTGGGAAGATCACAAGTTCAAGGCCAGCCTCAGCAACTGAGTGAGACCCTGTCTCAAGATAAAATGTACAAACAGGGCTGGGGGACTGGGGATATAGCTCAGTGGTAGGACGCTTCTGGGTTCAATCCCCCAGTAACCCCCCAAATTTAATTAATTTTGTAATTGACAGGCAATCATTGCACCCATTTTTGGTCTCAGTGTGACCTTTCACTACCTGTATAATGACCAACTCAGAATACTTAGGCTAGCCATCATCTCGAACGTTGATCATTTCTTCGTGGTGAGAACATTCAAAATCCTCTCTCGTAGCTGTTCTGATATTGTTAAGAGTTCTCATCCTGCTGGGGAGCGGTACTTCAGGACTCATCCTCCTCCCGAGCTGTGCCTTTGGACTCAGGAAATTGAATACAGTTCAGTGGTTTTTAACGCATTCCCCATGCTATGCAAATGTCACCAAAACATTTCCATCACCCACAAAGGACACCATGTCCCTGTTAGCAGTCACTCCCCGTGTCCCTTCCCCAGTCCTTGTCAGCACTCATCTTCCTGTCTCCATGGATTTGCCTATAGAATTTATTTTGTAAAATTTTTACTTTAAAATAACTTGAGATTTATCGATGATGACAAGAACAGCGTGAAGAATTCCTAGACACCTGGTTTCTCAGCCTCGGTGCTGCTGACACGGAGCCCCCATTCTTTGCAGGGGAGGCTCCCCTGTGCCTTGCATTTACTGAGCAAGCTCCCAGGTGCTGGTGAGACCACATGCTGTGACACCCCAAAGTATCTTAGCACATTGGCAAGTGTCCTCATAGGCAGAATAGGCCTTGGTCAAGAACAGTCCCCCAGAATCACTGGTTTGCATCAATTTGCTACATAAGCTCTATCTTTCCCTCCTCTAACTATCTATCTATCTGTCATCTTTCCATCCTGTATCAATCTGATAATCTTTCTAGCATCCTCCTGTTATCTATCATCTGTCTGCGGTCTGTCACTCATATGTAATTTTCCCTGAATGTTTTCCTCCTGAATGATTCACCCAATTCCCAAGAACAAAAGCAGTCAGAATCTCACATTGCCACAGGACAATTCTGAAGTTAAGAAATCAATGTGGACACGATGATGTTCAGTACGCACTTCACAATCCAAACTTGCCAAGGGTCCCCATAATGTCCTTCATTGCTGTCCCTCTCCCACCCTGACCCAGAATCCCATTTAGGTGTTGGGACTCTTTGTTCTCTGCTTTGGTTTGTTCAGGCTGCTGTACTGAAGTGTCACACACTGAGTGGCCTGTCCTAACAAAGGAACCGCCAGATCTCTGTGCCGCGGGTTCCGTGTCTCCGGTTTCCGCCGGCCGCAGGTGTTCAGAAGGACGTGTCCGTGCCAACTGTGTGCGGACCTTGTCCTGCCGTGACGTCCTGGCCAGTGTGGCAGCTGAGCACAGCGCATTGGCCTCAGGTTTCCTAAGTCACTGAGGGAGAAGACAGAGGGCTGTGGATACACTGTGCCCTGTTCTAGAAGGGGCTTGGGCACCTGCGTATTTTGGTGTCTTGGGGGTCTGGACACCCGTCACTGTGGGTCCTGAGGGACGGTTGCATTTTTCCCTGTTCTAGAGGCTGGAAGTCTGAGGCGGGCCACCAGCATGGCCGGGCTCTGGTGAGGGCCCTGACTTCCTGTGTCCTCACGTGGCCGAAAGGCGGGAGAGAGCTCGGGGTCTTTTCTACCAGGCTCCAGTCTCATTCCTGCTGGGTTAGCATTTCAACATGGGATTTAGAGGAGACCAACGTTCAGTCTGCCGAAGCCTCTCTTCTGGAACATTCTTCCTCTGTCTTTGCTTGAAGAGTCCAGGCCTGTTATTTGCAGTCAGCCTTCCGCCCTCCCGGGGTCTGCCATTGAATTAGACTCTGATCCCGGGAAGCCGTTTCTCCCGAGCTCTCTGGCCACGCTGCAAACCCAGGATCACACCTCCGCTGGGAGCCTGTGGCGTGAGCCTCCCGGGCGGCCTGATGGGGACACCTCCAGCCAAACCTGGGTGAGGCTCAGCCTTTCTTGGGAGGGTTGGTTGGTTGGTTTTCCTGCTGAGACTTTGCAATGTCCCCCTCTGTAATGAAGCAGACGTACACAGAGAGGTTTCAGAAAAAAACTTTTAAAGCACACTTTTCCAAAGACTCGACCACAAGGCGGGTGTCTAAGTTTAATTCCAGGCTCGTAGCATCGGAACCAACCACAGGCAAAAAGGAAAGTCCTAATCCCAATGTGTTTACAGAGCCAGAGAAAGAAAAAAAAAAACAAACAAGCTTAAAGAAGCAGAGAGAAGAGTGGTGGGTGCCAGGGGCTTGGCCGGGGTGGGCGTGGGTGAATAATGAGATGTTGGTCAGAGGGTGTCAACTTTCTGACATAAGATGGATCAGACCAGCTGTGGTGGTGCCTGCCTGTCATCCCATTTCCTGGGGAGGCTGAGGCAGGAGGATTTCAAGTTTGAGGCCAGCCTCTGCAACTGTGCTAAAAAGGGATGGGCTATGACTCAGTGGTACAGCGCCTCTGTGTTCAATTGAAAAAGAGAGACTCAGATCTGAGAACGAGAATCTGATGTTGTGATGTTAGCATGGTGACTGCAGTCAATGACACTGTGCTGTTGACTTGAAATTTGCTGAGGGCAGAACTTAAGTCAGTCTCTCTCTCTCTCTCTCTCTCTCACACACACACACACACACACACACACTGGTTGTAATTTAGTTGTGGTGACCATGACCCAAAGCACACACGTCTCAAATCGCCACGTTGTGTGAAGGACTGTTTAGATGGTGGCTCTGCCCATGAGGTGCTCAGGGCTGTGGCTCCCAGCAGCTCCCTGGGTCACCCTGCTCCAAGAGCCCAGGTGTGGGTGGGGGTCACAGGCGAGGAGCTGCAGAGGGGAGGGTGCTCCTCACAAGCACCCGGGCACCCAGCTCGTCCCCTGGAGGCCGGGTCAGGCCAGTCAGCAGAGACACCGAGCAACAAAGCTGCTGGGCCGGGCTGGCCGGCCAGACGTCCAAGTGCACCGCCTGGACCGCGTGGCTCCGCTCGTTCCTTGGGCAGTTTTCTCTCCCTCAGTCTTTGATCTTTCTTCATTGCCACAGTTCCTCCATATGGTGGGGGTCTTTTTGTTTGTTCACCAGAACATGCCAGTGTTGAGAACGAAGGGCTTTATTCCAAGAGGAAGGTGGGGGGATCCAAAGCCACCTGCAGCTGATCCCAGGGCTACACCAGATTTCATGTCGGGGGAGATGTCGTGGCTGCACTGAACTCTACAAGAGGACAAGACCGGGAACGTTCCCAGGTAGAGGGTGCCCCTCAGGCCACGCTGGTGACTCTACCCGGAGGAAGCAGGGCTCCCATGGAAGCCAGAAAGTCATGAGTATTAATTTCTTGCCCATTCACCCTTGGGGTCCTCTGTGGACATTGGCTCCTCTTCTAGAATCTTCCTTTCTCTCCCTTGGAACTTCCACTTGCCTTGAGCTTCAGGTGGCTGCATAAGCTCATATTTCAAGGACCTGACATCATCTCACTGGCTTGATTTTTGCATCCTAATGCCAAAATCCAAGGGGGACAGAAATCAGTTGGCCTTTTTAGCCCCATGACTGGTCCAATCAGGAAAGCTGGGCATTTCATGGGGGGTAGGATCCCCCCTCCCAGGGCTGATGGGAGGTGATATATGAAAGGCGACTGACTGTCAGGGAGATGATTTGGGTAGCTGCAGTTCCCTGAAAGTGCCATGTTTTCACTCGAGGTTGGCGTGGCAGGATGGTTGAGGCTCACAGGCAGATGCGAGGTAGCTCCAAACCAGAGGTTCTCACCTGACGGAAAGTGCAGACATTTCCAGTTGTCCTGCATGCCCAGAGGAGGAGGTGCTCCGGAGTCTTGAGGAGGAGGCCAGGGATGCTGGTCGGCATTCTACAGTGTTCTGGAACACGCCCTGCGGCAGAGAATTTGTATATGTATTATAAGTGTGTGTGTGTGTGTATCCCATCTCTGTCTATTTATCCATCTATGATCTCTATTTCTATTTATCTATTCATCTATCCATCTGTCTGATCATCCATCCTTCCATCTATCAGTCTATCCATCTGTCCATCTGCCTGTCTGTCTATCATACTCCTGGTACATGGTGGGTGGAGGCCGGCAATGTTGCTAAATATCCTATGATCCACAGGACAGCCCCACCACAGAGAAAGATCCATTCCAAATGTTGTCAGTATAGAGAGTGAGGACCCATGAGTGACCATGTTAGAGACCATCTGTCAGTCTTTCTAGCAATTCTGTCTGTATTTATCCGAGTCTCCATATATCTGTGTCAGTTGGCTTTTCATCACTGTAACAAAATACCTGAGGTGCTCAAAGATGGAAGACAGAAGAAGAAAGGTTTATTTGGGCTTACAGCGTTGGAAGTCTAGTCCACGACCAGTCGGCTTGTTGCTTTGGGCCTGGGGTGAGGCAGCCCACGCGGCAGAGCACAGCTGCTCACCTCATGGCGGGGAGGAGAAGGCGAGTGAAGGGCTGCGTATGCCCAGGCGACTCCAGGACCTCCCATCGGCCCCTCCTCTAGAGTTCCACCACTTCCCAAAGCATCATCCTTTAACATGTGGGTCTTGGGGGAACATTTAAGATCCCAAATGTAGACCATTCTATCTTCCTGTCTGTCAATCCATATATCTATCTATCTCCCTGTCTGTCTATCTATTTTCCTGTCTATCTACCATGCTACTGGCACCTGGTGGGGGAGGCCAGGCACGCAGAAGCTTCCTATGGTGCCCACAGGACGTCCACCTTGAAGAGTGATCTGGCCCCCAATGTCAACACGCAGAGCTGAGGAAAGCTGTGGTCAGGGCACGCCCTCCCCTGGTGCCCTGCTCCCTCCCCTGGGAAGGGGCCAGGGATGTGGAGGTGCACACCCCCTAGGGCAGCTGCAGGGAGTCCGGGGCCAGGTTCAGCCTTGAGCATTCCCTGCCCTGCTGAGTTTGGAGCCTGGATCCCAGTCCAGTCCAGGGAGCTGACTCAGGAATCCTCATTGCATTTAGCAGGAGGGGAAGTTGGTTTTTAATTTTTTTGTAACTAAAGAAAAATTCACATAACTGAAAATCAACCATTAGAGAGTGAACACCTCAGTGACTCTGAGCACATTCGGTGTCCTGCAACTGCCACCTCCATCTAGATCCAGAACATTCCATCCCCAAAAGGACAAAGTCCACGCCTATTGGGTAATCACTCTGCTTTTCCATATCTCCAGTCCCTGATCTGCGTCCTGGGTCTGGATCCTGCTTTGGACATTTCACACAAACGGAATCATATGCCCGGTGGCCTTGGGCCTCTGGCTGCTGTCACTCAGCATCACGTTTTCGAGGTTCACCCAGGTCGTAGCCCGCATCTTTTCGTGGCTGAAACCCGCCGTGGGTGCCTGTTCACCCTTCATCTGTGATTCCTTGTTAATACCCAGCAATAGCTGGGTCCCTCCAACATTAAGGCTGCAGTCAGCCAGCTGCTGGGAATGCGCATGCGCACGTTTTGACTTGACCACTTAAAAATAAAAACTTCAAACCACCCAGATCGAGCTTCTGCCCTGGAGAAGCACACGGGGACCTCAGGGTACTTTTAGAAAAGGATCTAAGCTCCTTCCTTCCTAAGGTCCTGCAGCTCTGCCACCTTGTCCCTGGCCTGGAGCGCTGTGACCTGAGACCTGCTCCTGCCCTCCTCCTTCCCACCCCAGCCCGGCCGGACCCCTCTGCTCAGGCGCGTGGCCCCTGTCCCCTTGCCTGTCGCTCACTGGGCTTGGCACGTCCTCCTCCTGGTGCCTGGAGCTACTCAAGCTCTTTATAGTTTTGCTGGTTGGTTTCCTTTTGATTTTGTGCTGCTGGGGACTGGACGCGGGGCTTGGTGTATGCTCAGCAAATGCTCCGCCCTCAGCCCCTTTTTTTGACACTTTCTTTTGAGACAGGGTCTCACTAAGTTGCCCACGATGGCTTCAAACCTCTGATCCTCCTGCCCCAGCCTCCTCAGTACCTAGGACGACAGGAATGGCCACAGTGCCCGGCTGCCTGGTGTGTTTCCCGCCTGGCTCCCTGCACCAGGGGAAGCTGCATGGTCTGAATGTCTGGGTCTCCCCCAAATTCACCAGTGGAGTTCTACCCTCAGGGCATGGGATTAGGAGGTGGAGCCTTTGAGAGGTGACCGGGTCAGGAATTGGATTAGTGCTTTTATAACAGAGGCCCCAGAGAGCTCCTGGCTCCTTCTGCCGTGTGAGGACACAGCAAAAAGATGTCATTCATGAGCCAAACACTGGTCCTTACCAGACACCAGATCTGCGGCATCTTGGTCTTGGCCTTGCCAGCTTCCAGAACTATGAGAAAGAGTGTTTGTGGTTTAGGCCCCAAGTCTACAGTGTTTCAGCTACAGCCCAGAGAGACTAAGGCAGGATCTGCTCTAATGTGGATACGGCTGGCGTGTCCCCGAGGATTCCCGTATTGAAATTAATCCCGTCGTGCAGAATTGGAAGACTGGAAGTTTCGCCTGACTCTGGTGTTCAGAGTGGGCCTTTGGGAGGTGATTAGGATCAGCCAGGTCGTCAGGGTGGGGCCTCCAAGGGAACATGCCTTCGTAGGAGAGAGAAGGGGACCAGCAGGCACACCCCCTGTCTCCAGCCTCTCAGGGCTCTGCCATCAGGAAGGCCATCACCAACTGGGCACAGTGGTGCCCACCTTTAATCCCAGCTTCTCAGGAGGTGGAGGCCAGTCTCCGTGACTTAGCAAGACCCTTTCTTATAATTAAAAGGGCTGGGGATGTAGCTCAGTGGTAGAGTGTCCCTGGGTTCAATCTTCAGAACCACAGAAACAAAACAAAACCATCCCAGGAGGTGGCCCTTTGACCTTGGACAAGAACCATGAGCCAAGACAAGCCTCTCTCTCTCTCTCTTTTTTTTTTTTTTTGATACTGGGGATGGAACCCAGGGCGCTTAACCACTATGCAACATCCCCAGCCCTTTATATTTTATTTTGATACAGGGTCTCACTAAGTTGCTAAGGGCTCTCTTAGTTGCTGAGGCTGGCTTTGAACTTGCAATCCTCCTGCCTCAGCCTCCAGAGTCTCTGGGATGACAGATATGGGCTTTTTTTTTTTTTTTAAACAAGGTACTCAGTCTGTGGTGTCACGTTATTGGCCACAGAAAATGGGTTACCACAAGTGTCTAATTCTCTGTCCCCGGGAGATCAATGCCTCCAGCACAGCTGATGCTCCATCAGTGGTTGTTGAACCAATGTGCTGACCCTTAGTGGATGATCCCCACACCCTGTGGTGCAAAAACTCCCGTCCCCTGCTCCGAAATGGCCTCCATTCGATTGTTTCCATCTCTGATGAAACTTCTGGCAGATCCTGCAGTCGCTCCCGTCTGTCACTTGGAACAACCTGCTCTAGTCCTAGCCCCCGAACTTATCTTCTCAGCCCACTTAAAGATGGCCCTGCCTCTAACTCGGTGGATCAGTTAGCCTTCATCACGTGACATCGTGGAGGAGGGAAGGTTGGCTCCTGGTCCCAGAGGCTCCTGTGTGGGGGCCGCTGGCGCTTTGGCCCTGAGGTGAGGGCGGAAGGGTGTAGTGATGGTCAAGAAGCAGAGACCGAGGAACGGTGGGGACAGGATGTGCCTTCCAGGGTACAGCCCTGGTGACCTCGTCCTCCTACTAAGCACCACCTCCCAGTAACGCCACCAAAGCAGGAATCCATCAGTGGGTTAGTCCACGGATGAGGCCAGAGCTCCCACAAGCCAGTCGCTGCCCCCAAGGCCCCCTAGGATTGCTGCAAGCCTTCAACATGGACACTTTAGAGGACATTCCAGATCCAAACGGTGACACTGGCCTTTTCTTAGGCCAGGAAAGACCAGGGTGGGTTGGAATGGGAGCAGTTGTTTCCTGCGTTAATTCCTGAGTTACCGCTTCCTCCCTCCCTGGGCTGGGTCTCAGGCTGCCCCGAGCAGGGGGCAGATGGTCCACGCTCCGCAGATGTGCACGGAGAGAAGATCAGAAAACGCATTACTAGGTGGGTCAGCCCAGGGGGCCTTGTGCCTGCCGGACGCTCCCAAATGCTGATCCCGGGCCTGTGGGGGCGCCCAGCTGGGGTGCCTGTCTCCCTCTCCTGACTTTGCGTCCTCGGTGCAGAAGTCCCAGGTGATCCAAGCCCGTCTGGCCTCCCCACAGGCACGGTCTCTCGGAGGCGGAGTTGAAAGACGTCTTGTCCTTGGACGATGAGGTGCTGCAGGTGGTGTACCGGGACTGGACCCCCCCCAGCAAGGAGCTGCTGCGCTTCCCGCCCCTGCTGTGGGTGCGGCTTCGTCGGGACCTGGGCCACTGCCTGGCCCGGAGACCCGCGGACGGCCTCACGCTCCTGGCCATCGCCCACAGGTAGGTCCAGTGCGGCAGCCGTGGTGACACTGTCTGGTTGGGACCCCGAAAACAGGACTCAATGACCAGCTCCTTCTTGACCTCCCACTCCCAGGGAATTGGCTCAGAATTCCACCCCAGGGCCTCTAACATACTAACCTCCCGCTGCCCTCCTCCTCCTCCTCCTCCTCCTCCTCCTCCTCCTCCCCCTCCTCCTCCCCCTCCCCCCCTCCCCCTCCTCTTTTATTTTATGGTTGGTAAAGTGCTGGGGATGGAAGCCGGGCCTCCAGCATGGCAGGCAAGTGCTCTACCTCTGAGCTGTGCCCCCAGCCCCTTGTTTTTTAAATTGAGGTGAGACCCACAGAACATTCAATTCACCGTTTAAAAGGCACGATTCAGAGGTGTTTTGTGCACTCCCTGTGCTGCCAGCCATCGCTTCCATGTCCTTCTGGGTTATTTCCATCACACCAGAAGGAGACCCCCAGAGCCCTCGGGAGGCTGAGGCAGGAAGATTGTGAGTTCAAAGCCAGCCTCAGCAACTGCAAGGCCCTAAGCAACTCAGTGAGACCCTGTCTCTCAACAAAAAATAAAAATTTGGGGGATGTGGGATATGGGAGAGGGCCTCTGGGTTCAATCTCCCCACCAAAGGGACCCCGTCCCCACCCGCAGTCACTCCCACTGCCCCCTCAGCCCCTGGCAGCCAGTGGTCTGCGCTCTGTCTTTCTGGATCCACCTGTTCTGGACATCTCATGTCCATGGAGTCACACACTGTGCCTGGCTTCTGTCACTCAGCGTCATGTTTTCAAAGCTCATCCACGCTGTGGGCTGTGTCAGCGCTTCCTCCTTTTTTGATGTTCCCTGTGTGGCTGCACCACCTCTGTCAACCCGGCCTCCTGCTGATGGACAGCGGTTTCTTTCCACTTTTTAACTATCGCAGATAGTGCTTAAGGAACATGTGTGTTTGTCTTCTTTTCTTTTACGTTTTTGAGACAGAGTCTCGTCATGTTGCCCAGGCTGTCCTGACCTTGAACTCCTGGACTCAAGCGATCCTCCTGCCCCAGCCTCCCAAGTGGCTGGGACCATAGACAGGTGCCACTGTGCCTGCTGTTCAAGTTTCTGTCTGAACCCGGTTTGGGGTTCTTTGGGGTCCATACCCAAGTGGGCCTGTTGGGTCATGTGATAATTTATTATTTTATTTTTAACTTATTGAAGTACCCTGAGGCTTCTTTTAAAAGTACATTTATTTAAGAGAAAACAAGATGGTCCATTTACAGATACGCACTGAGCAAGGCATCTGGCAGGCAGTCAGCAGACACTGCCCGCCCCCAAGGGTGGAGTGGGACGGACTGGCGTTTGGAAGCGGCTCCTGGAAGACTGGTGGCTGCCTCTGAGCCTGCTGTGCCCTCGGGGCCGTCAGCCTGTGTCCCTCCCTGCAGACAGCTGGCTGAGGTGGTCTGGGTGCGCTACCTGCCTGGGCCTGAGAAAGCCAAGAGGCACCGCGTCCTGGCCGACTTCTTCTCAGGGGCCTGGAGCCAGGGCACCAAGAAGCTCATCAGCCTGCCGCTTGTGGGGAAGCCCCTGAACCTGGACCGCAAGGTGAGGTGACAGGCCTGCTCCCCACTGCCTGGCCATGCCTGGTGGACTCGCCTCCTCCTCCCCATCCTTCCCACTCTCAGGCCATCCCGACGTCCTCTCCTCCCTCCCCATGCGAGCTGCCTCCTCCATAATTTGGGGAGCAGCGGATGAGGGAGAAATGACCCAGCCCAACTTTCCAAAGGGGGAACCGCCACATTTAATACTGCACCAAGTCCTGGCATCTCAGGTTTTACACTCACCCCCTGGGACTGAGTCCTCGTGAAGCCTAACAGTTCTCCCCGCCCTCAATCCGCAGCCTGGTTCTCCGTCTGTAGGTTCGACCGATCACAGTTTAAACATATTTGAAAATAAAAATTGCATCTGGTCCCTCCTGGGCCACTTAGCAAGGCCCTGTCTCCAAATATGTCATTTACTTATTTATTTTTGGTGCCAGGGATTGAATCCAGGGGCACTTAAGCCACATCCCCAGCCCCCTTTTTTTTATCTTATTTAGAGACAGGGTCTTGCTAAGTTGCCTAGGACCTTAGTAAGTTGCTGAGGCTGGCTTTGAACTTGCGATCCTCCTGCCTCTGCCTCTCAAGCCACTGGGATTACAGGCTTGTGCCACCACACCCAGCTTCAAAATAAATCATTTAAAAAGAAGGGTTGAGGAAGTAGCTCAGAGGTAGAGCGATTCTGGCCTCAATTTCCAGTACTGTGGGAAAAAAAAAAGGCACCTGTATTGACCATGTGGACTGCAGACTTCATATTCTTGTCACTATTCCCTGAGCAATTCAGAGTGACAACTGTGTACGTGGCATTCGCACCCAGTGTTCTACGTCGTCTGGAGATGACTTAGTCTATGAGGATGAGTAGGTTCTCTGCCATTTTCTGTAACGGACTTGGGTATCCTTGGATTGTGGTGTCCATGGGGTCCTGGAGCCAATCTCCCATGGACACGAGGGACCACTACAGCTATTTTTCTGTCTGTCTGTCCATCTGTTTCTTGGGCACTGGATATTTTCCTCTGTGAATTCCATGGTACAATCTTATTTCCAGTCACGAGGTTCCTAAGTGTATCAGAAACTTTAAAAAATAATGCTTATGTGATTTTTCTAGTGACAAGAGTACCCTGCAATTATGTGAAGCACAGAGACTCTTGAAGTGGAGAAGACAAACTGCCCCATACCCACACCTGGGAAGACCTGCCCGTGGCCGTTCCTCTGTGCATTTCCTCTGGTCTTCTCCCTTATGTCCGGAGCAGGAGCCTGGGCATCCTTAGCATGGATGCCACGCCCTGTTTTTGCTTCTCCGCCATCGCAAGGCTCAGTCCAAATACCTCTTCCTCCAGGGAGCCTTCCAAGGTTTCCTCCCTCCCCAGTCTGCAGGCCTGGGCCGTGGCTCCCAGCAATGCCATTGTTTTCCCACCCATTTGGCAGGCCCAGGTCTGCCGCCCGCATCTTCAGGAAACCTTATTCTCTCAGGAAGAGCTGCCTCCCTGGGGTTTGGATTGCTGAGCCCAGGTCCCTCCCTTTGCCCCAGCCCTGTTTGTGGGGGGCTGTGGGCTACCTCTGTGCCCCCGCCCTAGCACCGTCTGGTGCCTGTCCTGGCCCGTGTTTGTGGAGTGAATGAGTGACCTTGCACCCAGGCGCCAGCTGCCAGCCTCTCTCCTCCCCCGCCAGGTGGCCCCGCAGCCCCTGTGGTTCTCGGACACGGTGGCAAACCAGAGGAAGCTGAAGGAGCTGCCCCACCACCTGCTGCACTCGGGGCGCCTGGAGGAGCTGAAGCAGGAGGTGCTGGGTAAGGCCGGGCCCCGCTGCTCCGCCACGCGCCTGCCTTCTGGGAGGGGCAGAGGGCGGGGTAGAGACCCTGCCTCCTCTATGGCAGACATTCTCCAGCAGGGGGCTTCTGCACTCTGGGGTCCCCAACGTGTCTGCAGAGGTCCACAGTTGTCACGTGTGTCTGTGTGTCGGGGTGCTGCTCAAACCTAGTGACCCGGGGCTGCCCCTCCACAGTGCACAGTGCACAGGACACCCCCACCACAGAGGATGAGCTGCTCCCAGCGCTGATAGGCGGAGGGTGAGAAAACATGACCTAGCATGAGAGACCCCGTCTGTCTGTCTGTCCATCCACCCACCCATCCATCCATCCATCCACTCAGGTGTGCATGTGTCCGTCCAACCAGCATTTCTTCTTTTTGTACTGAACTCAGAGGTGCTTTATACTGAGCCATGTCTCCAGCCCTTTTTATTTATTTATTTTATTTAGAGACGGAGTCTGGCTAAGTTGCTTTGGGCCTCACTAAGATGCTGAGGCTGGCCTTGAACTTGCGATCCCCCTGCCTCAGCCTCCTGAGCTGCTGGGATTCCAGGCATGCGCCACTGCGCCCGGCCACCTATCCATTCTTTTATGTCTATCCATCTCTTTCTGCCTGCCTGTCTGTCTGGCAGTGGGGATGTGGATCATTAGTTGAACACCTGCCTAGCATGTGTGAGGCCCTGAGTTTAATCCCCAGAGCCTCAAAAACGTCTTCTATCTCTCCGTCTGTCTCCAGCCAGTCAGCCATCTTTCTGAATCGTCTTTCTGCACATCCCTGGCTCCATCCACTCATCCGCTTACCCCTCTCTCTCCATCCCATCCAACTAGCCAGCCAACCATCTCTGTATTTTCTGTCCATCTATCCATCCGTCCATCTTTCTGTGGATCTCTCCATCCACCTGCCAAGACATGTCCACCTATCTATCCGTGTTTCTATCTCCACCTGTCTGTCCCCGCATGCATCCACTCACTTGTTCATTCCTGTGATTCTGAACCAGGGGCTTTCTGCCCCTCGGGAGACGCATTTGAGGGTTACATTAGTCACATTTGACGGTAGAGATGCTGCTGGCATCTGGGGGTGGAGGCCAGGGTTGCGCTCTGTAGCCTGCAGTGCACAGCTTGCCCACCACCCAGGAGGGTGGTCCAGCCCCCGGTGCCAGTGCTGCTTGCTGAGAGCCATTGCCAAGTGGGAATGACGCATGGCATGACCCCGGTGCTGAGCTTGAGAGCCTCCGGGAGAGACACAGAGGGGCCTCTCCCCCTCCGGGGAACCGGCGGCAGCTGCGTGCTTCCCACCCTGTCCGCGTCTCCCCACAGGTAGCATGAGCTGGATCTGCTGCCGCGGCATCTCTGGGGGCATCGAGAGCCTGCTGGATGACTTTGACATGTGTGCCCCTCACGTGGACTCCCCCGAGGTCGGCCTGATCCGAGAGGCCCTCCAGCTCTGCCGCCCTGCCCTGGAGCTGCGAGGCTTGGGTGAGTCCGGCTGCTTGGCTGGGGGTCTCTTTGTGGCCTGGCATGTCTGTTCTTAAAAAGAGAAAAAAGATCCCCACAGATTTTTCATTGGTGAAATTCAAAATATGATAATAGCCGTCAAGGACAATGATCAACTCAGAGAAAATTATGAAAATGAGAAAGACGTGAATTGGTTTTTTGGGGGGACAACGTTGTGCTTTATTGGGGCTCATGGTTTCTTGTCATCGGTTGCATAGCAACACAGGGATCTATAAAAACTGTTAACTGCTGACTCAGCCTGGGTCTGGACCTCAGGCTGCATTTTTCCGACCCTTCCCCAGACCTTGGAGAATCTCTCTAAATCCTGTTGCTCTGCCTGTGACGCTGTTTTGTTTGTGTGTTTTTCAAGTTTCATTTTGAATTTAATTTAATATTTTTGGTGCTGTGGTATTAAAGCCAGAACCTCACACGCGCTGAACACTATTTTTAAAAAAATTATAGCAAGGGCTGAGGTTGTGGCTCAGTGGTAGAGCGCATGCCTAGCACGTGTGAGGCCCTGGGTTGGGTCATCAGCACCACGTAAAGATAAATAAATAGAATAATGGTATTGTGTCCAACTACAACTAAAAAATAAACATCAAAAAAATATAGGCAAAATACATGTAGCAAATTTTACCACCTTAACCATTTTTAAGTGTTCGGTTTGGTGGCGTTAGGAGTCCACGCATGTGTCTGGCCAACTCCGCCACCATCTGTACTCCTCTTTCACCTTCCCAAGCTGAAACTCCGTCTCCAGGAGACAGGGGCTCCCCAGGCTCCTCCCAGCCCTGGGGCACCCACCATTTCACATCCTGTCTGGGTGGCTTCAATGACTCCGGGGCCCTCCCGTGATTGGAATCAGGCATTGTCCTTTCCTGCTCCCAGCCGAGTGCCAGCCCGGCTGGACCTGCTTAGTGTCCAAGACGAGGTGCACCTCACACTACGGTGTGTGGCCAGGGCCTAGTCCTCTTCCTGAGTGACATCACTGAGCGCATGTCCTCGGGGTTCATCTACACGGTAGCCTGAGTCAGGATTTCCTTCCTTTTCTGGTTGAATCACACCCATCGTGTGTTCTCTGCATTTTGTGTATCCACGCATCTGTCCAAGGTGGTTGCTTGGCTGAACATGTCAAGTGACAAATGCATGAATATCTCTTTGAGACCCTGCCTTCCACCCTTTTGAGTTTGTTCCCAGAAGTGGAATTGCTGGATCTTAGGGTGATTCTGTTTAACTTTTTGAGGAATTGTGCACCACTTCTCACAGGGACTATACTTTTTTTAGTCATCGATGGACACACTACCTTTATTTTATTTATTTATTTTTATGTGGTGCTGAGGATGGAACCCAGGGCCTCACACGTGCTAGGTGAGTGCTCCACCACTGAGCCCCAGGGGATGTACCATTTTACATCAAACAAGAACAACTTTCCCTCTACCCTTGGATATTCAGTGCCTGGGGGCCTGGGAATTAAACTAACAAAAGCTGAGCAGAAGAAAAGACATACAAATATTAACTGTATGTGCATGAAAACTTCACAGAAAAGAGGAAAAAACCCAACGATGTGGCCAGATCCGGGGACTTATATACCAATTTAACAACGGGTGATAAATTGTGAAGGGAGTGTGTGGAGGAAGGAGGGGGTTACAGGGGTTTAAGTCCCCACATCCAAAGCGCCTCTCCATGGTGGCCTGGGGATGGATGAGTGGTGGCCTGGGACTCCCTTGCAGAGCTGTTCGTCTTGGTCTGTGAAAGTCCTTGAGTTGTTTGCTTCTCTCCAGACGGTGCTGGGAATGACCAAGCCTGGCCATAGCACATGACATCCTAGGGGTCCTGCTTGGGATTTGCCAGCTTGACACCCTCCTGTCAAGCTGCATTTTCAACCACTGCCCTGTTTCCATCTGTCTTCATGCGCTCTCTCTCCCTCTCTTTCTCTTTTCTTTCTTTCTTTCTTTTTTTTTTTTAAGACAGGATCTTGCTAATTGCTGAGGGCTTTGCTACATTGTGAGGCTGGCAATCCTCCTGCCTCAGCCTCCCAAGAAGCTGGGATTACAGGCGTGCACCACCACACCTGTCTTCACTCTTAATTATCCTTGCTAATAGTTTTCTTTTGCATCACGTCTGCCATGCCGGCCTCTGTGCTTAATGAGAAGAACGGTATCATTCCTTTGCCACATTTCCACCCTGTCCCATAGGCGAGACCTGGCCATGAACGTGGATTTCGGGCCCCATGGTGTCAGTGGAAATCTCGGCTCTGCCACTTACGGAAGTGCTCTCTGTCCTTGCATTCACCTCCTGGTCAGTCCTCCATTTTCTCATATGCAAAACGAGAATCCTAGGGCTTTGTGGAAGGGTATGTGAGTCCATTCATGCAGAGCCTGTCCCTGTGGTGCCATCAGGGTCCTGTCACGGCCACAGGAGAGCATCAATATTGCTGATGTGAAAGACCTTGGATGAGGCATTGCTGCACCTGGCCAGGGTTCTCATCATCAGAAAAATGCAGAATCAAACAGAAGCTGCAGTCTGTGCGCTTGGTTACACCTGCCTCGTGCACCGCGCAACCCCTACTGACATCCCAGCTGCAGAGCCAGCTCCTTCTGAGGTCCAGGAATGTTTAAGAGCTGTCCCAGCTCACTTACCACTTTTTCTCTCTCCCATGGAACAGCACAGGGAACTGTCTAAAAAGAATGACAATGTAAGAGGTGCTCCCCAGGAACTGTAAGCCTCCCTGGGGTGACTTCCTAGTCCAAGGGAAGATTTAAAAGTCCAAATCCCAGCAAGATCTTTGCAAACCCCTTGACAACCTGTGGCTCACCCTCGACAGGTGTAGGAATAACTGTCACCACCAGGGGGCGCTGTAGGACAACCCTGAACACTCCACAAGCTGGGGACAGGGATACCCATCTGAAGAACCCCAAGACCGTCCATCCTCAGGGTCCAATAGAGTCGCTTATGATCCTGTGTGTGTTTCAGTAGACTTTATTTATGTATTTATTTAGCATTTTTAGGTTTAAAGGAAAATTGAGTAGAAGTTAGAGATTTCCCGTATAGCCCCTGCTCTGATCTTATTGGATCAGAGGTTTGAGGACCATTGATTTTGATTTTTTTAAAATGAATTAAGGCAGTATTATCTTGATAGTTGAGTTGATTGGCTGTACCTTAAATTTTGCATCTGCAGTAAATGCCACATTCACTTCTGGTCCCAGATCTGTCCCCCATTCCACCCATGGAACCACCAGCATACCAAAGCCCAAGGAATTCTTGTCATCTTCCCAGGCTCCATGGTTAGAAAGTGCCAACGACAGGCTCAGAACGAACAATCTAACTTCAGCATATCTGGTATATTAGTCTTTGTTGTTGTTGTTGTTACTGTAATGAAATACTTGAAACAGGCCACTTTATAAAGAAAAGAGGTTTGTCTTGGTTCATAGTTCTGGTCCAAGGTCGATGGCCTTTTTTTTTTTTTTAAGAGAGAGAGAGAATTTTTAATATTTATTTTTTAGTTTTTGGCGGACACAACATCTTTGTTTGTATGTGGTGCTGAGGATCGAACCCGGGCCGCACGCATGCCATGTGAGCGTGCTACCGCTTGAGCCACATCCCCAGCCCGTCGATGGCCTTCTTGCTGGCAGAATCCTGAAGTGGTTCAGAGTATCACATGGGGAGAGACAGGGAATGGGAATGTGTTCTTTGGCATTCCTCCCACTTGAATCATGGCATCTCCCAGTGATGGCATTATTTAATCCAAGTCATTTTCCAAAGGTCCCACCTCTACACAACACGGTCAGATTCTGTTTTCTCTGTTAATACCTGACAGTCGGGATCAATTTCAACACATAAAACCTTGGGTAACACACTCTTAGCATATCCCACCTAGCACCTGGTCTTTGTTACGAAGGGCATTGGAATCAAACTCTTAGGGGTCAGATTTCTTCCTCTTACTGTCTGTGTGACCTTGTGCAAGTCACTTAACCTCTTTGTACCTCAATTTCCCCCTTTATAAATCTGGAATAATAATGATAGTACTTCCGTGTAGCAGGCAGGAAAATCAGCCCACCCCGAAAAGGATATATGTACCTGCTAATCACTGGACAAGTGACTGTTATGTAGCTACAGCCAAGAAGCCCCTGGAGCCACCAGACAGTGACAGCGGCAAGAAGGATCCTCCTTTGGAGCCTATGGAGGGGGCGTTGCCATGCCAACCCCTGATCTCAGGCTGCTCCCCGCAGCTGTGAGGGGGTGCAGTACTGCTGTTCTCAGTCGTCCAGCCTGGTACAGGTCCCCCTGGCCTCCAGACGGTCCCCTACTTGTGCTGGTTTGATTCTAGGTGGTGCAATCTTGACGTGCATCCGCAGACACCTTACTTCACACTTTGAATCTCAATCTTTTTTTCTAGTCATTGAGCAGCGGCTTGATCCTCTCATAATGCTGAGCTATAGCCGCCCCGCAGTCCCGAGGGGAGACAACGGGGCCCCCACGGTGTGCTGAGCGGGGTGTTCAGGGGCGTGGTGGGCTCCATGCGCTTCCCACTTGCATTTTCAACTTAAGATGGGTTTCAAGGGTGAGGCCCCATCGTAAGTTGAGGACCACTGTGCCGTACCCTGGGACTTGCTGGGGAAATGATCGGGTGCCTGTGTTGTTCTGGGCTTTTCAAACACAGCATCGGACAAGGCAGATGCGTCTTTGTTCTGGGAAGCTGAGGGCTAGGGTGGTGGGGAGACCAAAAGAAACCCAGAGGCTGGGCTGGGGCTCAGTGGTAGAGCGCTTGCCCAGCACGTGTGTGGCCCTGGGTTCGAGTCTCAGCACCGCGGATGGATGGATGGATGGATGGATGGATGGATGGATGGATGTTCATTAACAACCAAAAAGAAACCCAGAGAAAATGGCAAATCGCAACTGAGGTCCAACCTGAGCATGGGGTGGGCCTGGAGGGGCGGGGCCTGGGCTGGAGGGCGGGGCCTGGGCTGGAGGGGCCGGTCTGGGGCTGGAGGGGCGGCCCCACCCGACCTCCACCGCACCCCCCATTGCAGACAGGAGCGTCCTGTATACCGAACTCCTGGCCAGACTCCACTTCTTCGCCGCGTCCCACCCCGCGCTGGTGGGGCAGCTGTGCCAGCAGGCCCAGAGCTGGTTCCGGGTGTGCCCGCATCCTGTGCTGGTGCCCCTTGCAGGATTCCTCCAGCCCCCCGGGGGACCCCTGCGGGCAGCCCTCACGGGCTGTCACAAAGGTGAGTGTCCCCAGCGTAGCAAATCCCGCCAGGGCCCTGCCTTCCACGGGGCAGCAGCGGCAGGTGCTGGGGCTGCGCCTGCTGCCAGTCAGGAGCCCCGTGGGCGCTATCAGCGCAAGCCCTGGCCGTCTCCTGCTGGCTCTCCTTTCTGTCCCCAGCGGCTGGAGATTACTGGTGTAAATGCTGCTAATGAGCCCGCTGCCAGGGGGTGCCTCCAAGGTCCCCTCCCAGAGAGCCCGGTGTCACTGCCCTGAGCGGCTGCAGTTCCCAGGCTTGTGCTGGGAAGCCTGGGGACTAGGGATTGGTGCCTGGTGGCTCCCAGAGGCTAACAGAACTGCAGGCGGCCCCGGGGCCCCAGAGGGTCACGGGAGAAGAGGACCCAGGGCAGGTCATTGACTCCTTATCCTGGGTTCTTCCATCGGTCCATGCATCCTTCCTCCCTCCCATCTCCCCACCAACCTTCCTGTCCACCCACCGCCCACCTGCCCTCCATCTTCCCTTCCACCCACCCTCCCCAAGCCACCCCTGCTTCCTCTGATCCCCCCCTCCTACCCACGGGCTCATTTGTCTGTCCACCCAACCCCTCCTCTGCCATCTTCGCCTGCCCCCACCAGCCACACCCTGCCCCTTGTCAGCTTGCAGGCCACCTATGACCTGACTCTTCCTCTCCCATCCCCACCTCTCCACCCACCACGGCTCATCCACGGACCAGCACTCCGCTCACCCGCCCGTCTCCGACGCCTGCCTTTTATCTGCTCACCTACCATTCCTCATTCTCACTGTGACATCTCTATCAGCTCAGGGGTCAGATGCCGGGCTGTTACCAACCAGGCTCTTTCTGTACCCCAGGACCCAGTAGAGAAAGTCACACTTCCCAGGCCCTTGTTTCCAAAAGAGGCATCCTGGGATGCTGAGTGGGACACGTGGAGGAATCCCTTCAGGGGCGGCCACTAGAGTGCTGGGCTGAGGATTCTGAGGCTGAAGTTGGTTTAGTGGGATAGACTGTGCCTTTGTCAGGATACGAGGTTCAGATGTTGTGACAGAGACCAAAATAACAGGGACTTAAATAAACAGTGACTTAAATAAAGTAGAATGACCTGGAGACAGAAATTATCATTTCTGCTCTTGTCTTATTGAGTAGCACTTTGATATTTCCAACTTAAGGCCTGGGCAAGAACCTAGATACTTTTATCAGGGCCTGGAGATGTTCCATCCGCCCAGGTTCAAGCTTCCTGGGAAAAGCCACCGCTGGCTGCATCACAGAGCGTCAAGGCACTCCAAGACTTGGGGACCCTATTGTGTCCTAGGGAGTCGAGCAGATCCCCACTCACCAGATGCCAATAGCACCTTTGTTCCCAGTGGTGACATCCCCATATGTCTCCAGACATCACTCACTGTCCCCTGGGGGACGGAATCACCCTGGGTGAGAAGCACCAAGGACAGGCTGGGTTTAGTCCTTCCTCTTACCAACGGCAACACAAATGTCACAGCAAGCCCCTTGGTCTGGCACCTGACAACCCCAGCTACAGAACCCCAGCTCTGCTGCCTCCTCCCATGTGACTCTAGACAAGGGGCTGAATCTGTCTGTGCCTCGGTTTTCTAACTGTGAAGTGGGGGCTCTCTAGAGGATCCCCTGGCTGGGCACCTGGACACAGGCACTGAGGCCACCACTGTCTCTTTTGCATGGCTGCAGGTGTCACCGCCATGGCGTGGAGCCTGGAAGAGAAATTGTTGGTGGTCGGCACCCAGGATGGCCTCGTGGCTGTGTGGGACATGGAGGAGCAGCAGGTGGTCCACATTCTAACAGGACACACGGGTGAGGCTCAGCAAGGGTGGGGTGTGGTCAGCATCTTCCTCGTGTCCCACAGCAACCTCCCCACAGGTTCACTTCTCTGTATTAAAGCTGATCTCATTTCCTGCATCAGGCAGCTAGAGCTGCGTAACAAAGCTTCACAATACACAGTGACAGTTACGCTGCTTCTTCAGCTCATCTTCTGTGGGTCGGTAATTCAGACTGGGCTCTGTGGGAAGTTCCTCTGGTGCCAGCCAGACTGATTCATTGCCGCAGTCTGGCTGGGCACACAATCACGAGCCACCACACAGCTTGTAGATTCAAACAGCAACTCTTTATTCCCGAACTCACACCAGCCGTCTACAATCACGTTCTGGGGAAATCCACGTTCTCTGCCCAAAATCCACCCCCACTGGGCTTCTGTCTCCCAAAAAATACTGTCTGAATCCCGTGAGAACTCAAGGGGAACTCAGGCAGCAGGATACGCCCTATTCCCAGCAGGAATAACCTTAAACCTGGAACCACCCTAAACCTGGATAGTCCTAAACCGGGAACGCCCTAAACCCGGATCCGCCCTGGTCCTTGAGCAAGGTCACCTTAGATGCAATGTCACTGCAAAGTGTCCTATTTCCACGAGTCCTTCCACTAAGCAACATGGGGTACGCTGGCAAGGAAATTGTCATACCTACTTGGCTAATGGCTCCCAGCAGTTCGTGCATTGGCAGTCAATTGGCTGGTTCAGGGTGTCCTCAACCGAGATGGCTCAACGCTGTTCTGTGTGGGCCTCATCCTCCTTCCTGCAGCCAAGGTCTAGCAAAGTCAGGGTTTCTAGAAAGCAAAATGGAGCTCACAATATCCAAGTTCCAGATGTGGAGGTGGTGCTCTGTCAAGAACCATCCAGAGTCAGGGGGTAGGGACATGGGCTCCCTCTCCTGATGGGAGGACCTGCAAAGTCACCTCGTCAAGGGTCTGGAGCACCGAAGGTAAAGAATTGTGGTCTTTCTGTGTCCACCTCAGAGCCTGCCTTGGTTCATTTCTGCTGCCATAACAGGGTTCCACAGACTGGGTAAATTGTAAATGGCAGGAGTTTATTCAGCTCATGGCTATGGAGGCTGGGGAGTCCAAGGCCCAGGGACCCTCTGATGAGGGTCTTCTCACTGCATCACGTGGTCAGAGAGCCAAAGGAAGAGGGAGCCCGCCTCCCGTGTTCTAACTGACCCAACCCTTTAGAGGATCAGAGCCCCCATGACCCGATCCCCTCTGGAAGGTTCCTCCTGTCCCAGTATTGCTTTGGGGCTAAGTTTCCAACAGACAAATTTGGGGAGAGGGACATGCAAACCACAGCAGATCCTAAATGAGTGTTCCATTCTGCCTGTGTCTTCACCTCGCGATTCGTTCACTGAATCCTTGACTGAGCTTGGTCCCACGATCCTTGTACCAGGCCCTGTCCTAGGTACTAAAGGGAGACGGAGCAGGGCTGACCTGAGTGGAACCCAGGCCTCCTCCCCCAGGCTAGGCACACGTTCACTGTCCACAGCTCCACGGTGAACACCTTTCTAATATGGTATTCATGGAAAATCAAAATGAATGCAAAAAACCCAAGGTGAATACGATCTCAACCTGCCTTTTTCACTTTTTATTATTTTCTGAGCTGGGGATGGAATCCAGGGCCTCACCCGTGCTAGGCAAGCCCTCTGTCACTGAGCCCCAGCCCCAGCCCGATAACTTACCCCTTCATATTGATGAGCAGTACTCCATCCTAAGAACCGACCACCGTTTGTTCATCCGTTCTTCAATCTGCATCGTTTCAATCCTTGGTGATCATGAACAACGCTGCCGTACGCCATGGAATCTTTACACTTAGAACGCTTAAAGGCAGCAAAAATAGCTCATTGTTCCCCAAAGCTCATTATCTTCATCTCTTTGGGCTTCTGTAACAAAATGCCACCGTCTGGGTAACTTAGACACAACAGGAACTTATTTCTCACAATTCTGGAGCCTGGGAAGTCCAAGATCAAGGCCTCAGGGATTCGACATCTGGTGGTGACAGATCTCTGATTCATTAAATCGGTCCACATCATACACAGATGGTCCCTGGCTTATGTTAGTTTGACTTGTGACTTTTTGACATTGATGGTTGAAACTCATGAGAACCTACCCATAAAACTATTGTTTTTCATTTTCAGTCCAGTATTCAATACGTTACATGTGACATTCAACACTTTATTTTACAACAGGCCTGTGTTAGATGGCATTGGCCAAGAGTAGGCTAATGTGAGGGTTCACAGAAAGAAACGTCACTGGCGCTGGGGCTGGGCTCAGAGGTAGAGCAGTCGCCTCACAGGTGAGAGGAGGCCCTAGGTTCAATCCTCAGCACCACGTAAAAATAAATACATAAAATAAGGATATTGTGTCCAACTACACCTAAAAAGTAAGTATTTTTTTTAAAAAGAAAGAAATGTTACTTTAAAAGGTTCTACCTTGCCTAACATGTGTGAGGTCTTGAGTTCAATCTCTAGCACCACAAGAATAAACAAATGGATACAAAGTAATACCAACTTCTACTTTATCAGCAAAGTGAGGAATTAGTTGATTTCTTGTATCAGTTTGCCACATTCAGATGATCAATCTTTAGAATTTTTACCAATATGGTAGGTGATTAGGACATATTGGTATTTTGTTTGCATTTTTTGTGAAGTCAAACATGATTTTCAAATGTTTATTGTTTACCAGCACTATTTTTGTAAAAATCCTATTTATTTTCTTTGTCCAAGTTGTGAGTAGATCATTTGCATTAGTTCTTGATTATTTGTAAGAACTCTTTATTAAGGAGAGTCTATTAGTCTGTTTTATGTTGTAAATATTTTTTCCTATCTGTCACGTGTCTTTCAACTACATTGTATATTCCTGAAGCTTTACCTATTCAGGTAATCAATTGGTCAGTTTCTTCCTTTTATTTCTTCAAAATTTTATGTTTTGTTTGGGATGTGTCTTTCCAAGACTATAAAAATTACAGGAGATTTCTTATAATCTTTCAAGAATCGTACACTATTCTTAAAGCATGTTTATCAATTTTAAATAGCCTCTGAATGCTGAACCTTTGTAAAATTCAATTGTCTCTGCTTATTACAAATTCAACATCTGGGACAATTGATTGAATCCCAACCCATTTTGTCACTCTTAATTTTGTTCAGTTGCCATCCATTAATTTCAATTTGGATTGGTTCAAAGCCATCCATCTTTTCTTTGGTAAAGCAGGGTATTTACAAACTGGCGGGCACTTTGATAGTTATAAGGACACAATGTTTCTGGCTAACAGACCCTCCCTTCACATTTTGCTGCAGGAGAGGTGAGGTGTGTTAAAGTTTTTGCAGAAGGGATTCTTGCCATCTCTGCCTCTAAGGACCATACTCTGCGCGTGTGGAACTTACTTTCTGGCCAGGAGAAATTTTCCATTTGGGATGGAGGCTCAAAAAATTCCACTGAACCCCAGATCTGGAACCTTCATGTGGATGAAACAAATAAAATCATGTATTCAACCTCTGGCTCCAAGGTAATGAACATCGGCCTTGTTTGTAAAAGAAGGCTGATGGAGTAGGTTCTTCCCATACGGAAGGGCTCTCTGAAATGGGGGGGGGGGGATGCAAACAGGGCCACACACCACTTGAAAGGGCATCAGAGGAAGTTCCAAATGATATTGAGAGTATTTTTCTCTTAACATTTGCGGCTTTCCATCTTTTCTAATAGAATACGTTAAGGCTATATGTCTCCCTCTAAGTACAGCTTTATCTGCATCCCATCAACACTTGTTTTTTGAGACAGGAGTTTCACTGTCTTGCCAGGTTGGCAAATCTCATGATTCTGCTGCCTGAGTCTCCCGAGAGACTGGCATTACCAGTGTACATCACTATGCCCCGATCCACACTTTTAATATGTTGTGTTTTCATTTACGTTCAGCTCAAAATGCTTTCAGATTTCACTTTTGAGTTCTTGCTTGACCCATATGCTCTAGAAAAGTGTGCGGTCAGTTTCCCAAAAATTCTGGGGTTTCTAGATAGTGTTCTGTTATTTTTTTCTAGTTAGATTCTTTTTCTATGATGTGAATCCTTTCAAATTTATTGAGGTGTTTTATGATCTCTCTTAGTAATGTTCCTGTAAATCTGAAAATGATGCATGCTCCACTATGTCCTTCCATTATGTTAGTCATAACCCTGTGATCGATGCTTTATGAAAGGAGACACCCAATAACATAGTGGATAAAAGCTCAGTAACTAAAGCAAGGGAAAAAAACCTATAAACTCATCCTTTGGTATCCAGGGGGATTGGTTTCAGGACTTTTTCAGATTTCAAAATTCACAGGTGCTCAAGTCTCTTATATAAAATGGTGTAGTGTTTGCATCTAACCTGTGCATATTTAAAATCATCTCTAGATAACTTATTTACCAAATACAGTGAACATGCTATGTTCACAGTCATTATAGTATTGGTAATTGGTATCTATTAATTACTATGTTACATTAGCAATTGGTAGTTGTTACCAGGAGTATTGGTGCTTATGAACTGTGCTGTCCAGTGCAGAAGTCCCCGGCCAGATAGGGCTGTGGGAACACTTGAAATGTGGCTGCTCTCACCTGCTGGATTTCAGAGACTTAGTATGATAAAAATAGTATAAACTATTGCCATCATAATTTTATAGCAATTACACCTTCAACTGCTAACATTTGGATGTGCCAGGTTAGGTGAAATACATTTTAAAAATTGATCTCACCTGTTTCTTTTGACCTTTTTAAAGTGGCTAATAAAAATTTAAAATTACATGCAGCTTGCATTATATTTTTAGTAGACAGGGAGTGTTTAAGTATTTGAGAAAAATTCATCCCAAAATTGATTATAAAAATCATCTTTGTGATTAGCAAAAGTTTGGAAAACACCGTAAAGTATAAAGAAGTAACCCCAAAGATAATCACTGTTAACATCATGTGATTTTGCTTTGTGCAGTGTGTGTGGGCATATGAGTTTTTCTGTGTGGGCATATGTATAAAGTGAAATTGGATTAAACCAGGTATGCAGTTTTATGAAACTGTTTTCCCACTTACTATTTTATAAGCTCCTGAGTATTTGCCAATAACTAAACATTCTTCAAAACCATGTGCTTAGCTATTGGGTAAGATTCCATTATGTGACTCCATGTAATTCATTTAATCCTTTATTGTTGGACATAGAGGTTGTTTCCATTTCTTTGCCCTTACAAATAACTGAATAACTTTGTGTGTATATAGTCTTTAACTCCCACTGGAGCTCATACTATATGCACACCATTGTGTCTGTCTTTTTTTTTTGGAGGTGGGGTCTCACTATATTGTCCAGGTTGGTTTCTGCCTCCTGGGGTTCAAGCAATCCTTCTTCAGCTTCCTGAGTAGCTGGGATAAGAGATCCTCCTGCCTCAATCTCCCGAGTACCTGGGTCTCCAGGCACAGGCCACCATGCCTGGCTCACCCTTTAATTTTTTAAATTATACTTTGGAGGTAGAATGAACATCAAAAGTTTAATAATCAGATGAATAATGCCCGTTAAAAAAGATACTTTTGAGGAAGTTAAATTGAATTTTAAGCTGCTTTATTCAATAATCACTTGTAACGAACAGGTATGTCAATGCCTGGGGCGCTGCTGACATTTTTTCTGTGTTAAAAACTTTTAAAATTTGGAACAATTTTGGCTTTAGGGAAGAGCTACGTCGAGGTGAGAGTCCCCTGACCCTCCACCCAGCCTCCCTTATTGACCACATCTTCTATAACAAGAGTAAGTTGGTCACAGTCAAGACATTAATATTGATGATCACTATCAGCTCAGCTCTGACTTTATTGGGAGTCCGTCAATTGTCCACATGTGTCCTTTTGTTTTAAGATCCGACACAAGATCCATAATAGAAATATTATGAAATAGAAAGCAGGAACCACAGAAAGGGATGGCTCTCGTCTCACGTGGTGGCTGTGCCCGAGTCCCAGATACTGGGAGCAGAGGCGGGAGGTGGCTTAAATCAAGGGTTCAAGGCCAGCCAGGGCAGCTCAGGAAGAAAGACAGGAACGAGAGAAAGGAAGGAAGGGGGGAGGAGAGGGAGGGAGGGAGGGAAAAGTGGGGTAGAAACAACGGTCTGATCTGCCTGTGGAGGCGCAGCGGGGGCGCTGCTGGACAGCTCTCCTGTTCACTGTTCCCTTAGATCAACGCTTGGAGTTTAGAAACGGCGGAGCTGGTTTTCCGCATCCTGGGAGACGGTGCCGATCCCTGGGTGAGCACGGCCGTGCTGCCTTCCCAGACCAGGCTGCTGACCGTGTCCAGGGGCGGCGAGGTCACTCTGTGGAACTCGGCCACGGGGAGCCTGCAGGGGAAGCACCGTTTGTCCAGCATCAAAGAGGAGGCCCCCACCTGTGCCGTCTCGGTCCAGACGCAAGGCAAGGTGGTCACTGGGTTCAGCGACGGCTCCGTCTCTTTGGTAAGTCACTTTGCTGCTCATGATGCGGGCACCTGTTCACCTCAGGAGTATCAAGACACTCCAGAGGTGGGAGAATGACCTTCCTCGTGCTCTTTCTGTATGACATGCAGCTTCTCGATTCGTCACAGTTCAGGAGACCTCTGTGGGTGTTCCCAGGGCCTGGGTGATGTGGCAATGGTAGAGTTGGGTCCTTCCAGGAGGCGTTGGTAGGCATCCTCTCTGACAGGCCAGCAGCTGAATGCTATCCCCGAGTTCCACATGGTGGACAGATGCTCCCATGGACATTTATGTATGGACCAACCTGCTCGGTAAGCTGGGAGGGGAAGAGCCCCCAGCTATGACGTTGTACCTGTTTCCAACAAGAAGCTTTCAGAAAGACAGAAAACCATTATGGGGACCTAGATGCGATTGCAAAAGCAAGTCACATAAGGAGTTGTGATGGAGAAGCACAGGCGCCATGCTAGACAGGGGATGAACCGTAGAAATGTAAGAACCCTGTCTTGGGCAACTTTGCATTGCTCTAGTAAAATGCCTGATGATAGGAACTTTATAGAGAAAAAAGGTTTATTTGGGCTCACAGTTCTAGAGACAGGCAAGTTCAAGAGCATGGTGTTAGCATCTGCTCAGCTTCTGATGAGGGCCTCAAGCTAATCCACAGAAAAAGTTGGAGTAGCCCACAGTCATGGCCATTCTTTTAAATGTTGTCCATGGGATCTTGGGTCTCAGTGACAGGGCTGGGACTGCATGGCCCACAAAGCTAAACAGATTTACTTTCTGGCTCGTTCCAGAAAAAGTCTGCCAAGCTCTGGGCTAGAGGTGCTTTCATGGAAATAACAAATTCTCGTGGGGCGTTCGCTGTCTGAGGACTCCGTGTCTGTAACGTTATCTAACCCTGAAAACAGCATCAGGATGTAGCTGCTATTGTCGCCTGTTACAGCGAGGTAAACTGAGGCACAGAGAAGGACGGCCATTTGCCTAAAGCCGCAGCCCTGGGGAGAGGTTTCCAACTCCAGCTGCCTGGCTCTGGCCCTGTGCTCCGACGGCTGTGCCCAGCTTCCCAGAGCCAGGCTTTCAGGACCTGGAATTCTTGACGCCCAGGCTCAGTCCACTCTTTGCTCTGGGGTTTGCCCTGACCTTGTAGGACATTGAGCATCATCCCTGACCCCTACTCACCCAATGCAGAGTATCCTCAATCCTAACAACCAAAGATGTCCTCAGGCCCCGACCAGTGTTGCCTGGGCACAGTCACCCTGTGGAGGACGGCTGCCCCAGACACACTGTATAGAACAAGGGCAGCTTATGTCCAGGACCTGAGATGGACAGTTATTATGCAAGTGACCATTAAAACTCATACGGACAGCAGTCAGCCCTGGACAGGGAGACCACGGGGGACGGTGGGGTGACGCTCACACACGTTCTAGGCAGTTTTTGGTTTTAGAATCTTATACAGTATCATTGTTGAATCATCTAGCTCAGTGGTCGAGGGGAGTGCTTAGCATGTGCAGGCCCCGGGTTCCATTCCTGGCGCCAGAAAGAAGGAGGAGGGGGAGGAGGAGGAGGAGGAGGAGGAGGAGGATCACCTAAAAAAATAAGCAATAACAACCATGAAGAAGAAATTCACTTGGTCCTGCCTGTACTAAATACAGATTGAACAACTTATCTTTACAATATTGAACTGGTGCAAATGACTCACTTTTAGGGTTATCTGTGCAGCCCATCTGTCCAAGATAATGAATGTAAAGCTTTCAATTTGGGGCCTCTTGTGGGTCAGATGCTTAAAAATCAGTAGCCGAATTTGGGATGAATATCAGGATTGAGGAATAAACCTTCCCTTCAGAAATGGAGAGTGTGTGGTTAGTTACTGTACAGATATACCTGAAGCTGGGAACTTTATAACGAAGACAAGTTTCTTTAGCTCACAGTTTTAGAGGCTGAAAGTCCAAGGTCAGGTGACCCATCAAAGGGCATCCAGGCAGGAATGCAAGGGAGAGGAAGAGATTGCATCGACAGACAGAAAGGAGAGAGCGGTGTCTGAGGTCCCACAACACCTTGTGAGGGTATGTTAGTCCCTTTTCTGTTTCTATAACATGATGCCACAGACTGGGTCAGTTATAAAGAAAAGGGGTTTATTTGTGCTCATGGTTCTTGAGGTGTAGTTTGTAAGGCATCATCTAGTGATGGCCTTCTGCTAGCAGGGTCTGTCGTCAGTGCCAGGGAGCTTGCGTGTGTGTGTGTGTGTGTGTGTGTGCATGTGTGCGTGTGTGATCTCTCTCCCTCTCCTCATGAGGCCACTGGGATTCAGTTATGAGGCCCCACCATAACGACCTTATCTAACTCTAGTCACCTCTCAAAGACCCCAAGTCGAGTTTCCACTCTTAATACTTCACACTGGGGACCAAATCTCAATACATGGACCCTGGGGCCCACCAGGCCATTCCCAGACTCTGGCGGAGGCCACGTCCCCACTGACCTCAGGCCCGTCCGCAGTCCCCACTCCTGCGGCTCCTCACCGCCTCCCAGCACCACCGCCCCAGGAGCCGAGCTGCCAACGCGTGAGCCCCGGGGACACGCTTGAACCGTGTCCACACCACAGGGCTTCCTCTGGCTCCAACCTGTGTCTTATCTTATTTTGGGGGTGCGGGGGGGGGTACTGGGGATGGAACTCAGGGGCCCTTGACCACTGAGCCACATCCCAGCCCTATTTTGTATTTTACTTCGAGATGGGGTCTTGCTGAGTTGCTTAGGGCCTTGCTTTTGCTGAAGCTGGCTTTGAACTCACGATCCTCCTGCCTCAGGCTCCCCAGCTCCTGGGAGTGTGCGAGCCTCACCTGCCCGTCCCAACCTGTGCTTATCTTATCTGAGATCTCCAGAGCTCCTTCAAGGGTAGAAAATGGTGCTGGAATGTTCCCTGGGTCCCTGAGCGGTTCTGACAGCGTCTGCACCATGGCCTTTGGCAGGGTGACTCCACGCACTCCTCCACCTGCCATGACCCTGCAAAGAGGTCCTGGCTGCATCTCCCACTTAATAAGGGGCAACTGGGGGGCCAGGGGTTGAGGATCTGCTCAGCATCTCGGCCCTGGGTCAAATCCAAGCTCCGTGGAAGTGCTTGACCTTTGTCCTTGGCTCTGGACAGGTTTCCCCTGGAGGAGACAGGTTGCTGGAGAAGCTTCCAGAAGCTGTGGGATTCCTGGTGGTCTCTGAAGACGAGTCCCTTCTTGCTGCAGGTAGCGTCTGACTTTCATTTTCAAGTGTTGAGGGAGACATTCAAAATCGGGTGGGAGGTGGGGAGGGCTTGGGGACAGGGAAGATTCCTAAGTCAGAGGTCAGCAGGCTTTAGCAAAGGGCCACCGAGCAAACATGTTTTGGCTTCTCAGGCCGGAGAGCCTTGTGTCACCAGGCTCTAGTCTGCCTTTAGGGCACAAAAGCCAGTTTGGGCACTTTGTACAGCCTGCGTGGTCTTGTGCCCGCATGGGTTCACAGACACTGGCTTTGAAATTCCATATCAGTCTCATCTGCCCTGAAATCCTAGTTATACTTTCATCTCTTTCAACCATTTGAAAATGAAGAAACTGTCCTTGGCTCAAGGACCACACAAAAACAGGCCCTGAGCCGCCCTGGATGCCCGGGTCCTGGGAATCTCCTAATGGCTCTAGGCTTCAGGAGTAGCCATCCCGGCGGGACGATCACAGCAGCCAAGCACACCAAGGGACAGCAGAAGATGGAGATGCTTTTGTGCCCAGGGCTGAGCCCGTCCGTGCAATCCCCGGGGTTAGGGTCTGGCAGCCTCCAGGAAGGACATCGGGTCATTGAAAGCGATTGTGATTGGTGTTATGACAAGGCGAGAATCAGGGTCTGGGGAGCATGTCACAGGGTTCCCTGCCTTTCTCCAGGGACATCAAGGAGGACTCCCGGTAGAGGGGACCAACGGATGCCCCACAGCCCAATCTTTTTTTTTTTTTAAATATTTTTTAGTGTTGATGGACCTTTATTTTATTCATTTATTCATATGTGGTGCTGAGAATGGAACCCAGTGCCTCACACAGCAAGCACTCTACCACTGAGCCACAACCCCAGCCCCCCACAGCCCAATCTTAAAAAAAAAGTTAATGACATATAATAATGGCACATATTATGGGGCACACTGTGAGAATCCGGTTATGTATACAGTGGGTAATGGTCAAATCAGGGGAATTTCATCTCCATCTCCTTGAACATTGACCATTCCTTTGTGCCAGGAATCTTCAGCTCATCTTTTCTAATTCTCTTATAAAATATATAATAAATTACTAAACGCTGTAGTCACCCCAGTGCACTGTAGGAGACAGGGGTGAATTCCTCCTATCTGAATGGCTTTGGTACCTGCTGTCCAGCCCCCCCCCCTTCCATTCCCTTCCCAGCCCTGAGCAACACTGTTCCACGCTGCACTCCCAGGAGACCGACTTCCTCACTTCCACATGTGATGAGAATATGCAGCAGTTGTCTTTCTGCACCTGCTGAATGTCCACCCACGGGGCTGGGGCTGTATCTCAGCGGCAGAGCACTTGGCTAGCATGTGCAAGGCACTGGGTTCAATCCTTAGCTTTGCATTAAAAAAATAAACAAAATAAAAGCCTGCTGTCCATCTACAACTACCAGAAAATTAATAAAAAGAAAGATTGTCCACCCGTGCTGAGCCACCCATATTGTCACGAATGACAAGATTTAATTATTTTTGTGGCTGAATCCTATGACCACCACAGCCTGACATTTCCAGGGGCCAAAGACACGGGCCAGCCCCAACCAGTAATGCAGGCCATTTTTATGATGGTGAATGTTCTAGAAACCCTCTTACAGGAGGTAAAAAAGGAAATAGATGGCATTCATGTTAATCATATATCTTACTTAACCCATTAAACCCAAAGACTTAGCAGGGAATCAATGTGAAAATCAGTAATGGGATAGTTCACATTCTTTTTTTGTTCATTTTTGTAACTAGGTTTTTGAAATCTGGTGTGTGCTTCACACTTATGGGATATCTTGATTCCCACCAACCACATTAACAGCCACCTGTGACTGACGGTAACTGATTTGGACAGTACAGGTCAGCAGACTGACTGATAATAGACCGACTGATGATTGATTGATATACCTTCTCTCCTCTTTCCAAAAGAACTGTTGGTGGCTTAAGAAAGAATATTAGAGCTGGAGGCACAAAATAGAATCAGGATTGAGGCCAAAGCATCAAGGACCTTAATCACCTAGAAAGGCCTTTCAACTGGGCTTCAGGTCTGGCTCCTTCCAGCAGCCAATGAGTGGATGGAACTTGGGCAATTCCCCATTCACAGTTTTGGAAACCAGTCTCTTGTTCTCAAAACCAGCCTGACCCCAATTTAGCAAAGATAAGACAAGGGTCCCTTTTAAGGATTATGAATAGGAGTGCAATGTGGGTCCCCAAGACTGTGTTCAGTTCCATGAAACTCCACATCTCACGGAATTCAGAAAAGGCAGAACCTATCATACACACAGTTATAGTTAATGGCAGCAAAAGGATTCAGATTAAAATCAGCAAAGAGAAGAGGTCACGGGGCAGAGCCCAGGAAACAGTGGACACGAGTTCTCTCCTGGTGGCGTGTCTCGCTTCTCTCAGCAGTGAGGTGCAGTCAGTACACTGCTGTCCTGCTGACCGGGGGTTCACCAAGGCCCTGTTGGTCACACGGGCGGAGCTGGTCGTCTGCATGGCTGACCTTAGTCTCCAGCCTTCCCAAGGTCAAGCTGACGCTGCCTGTCTAAAGCTCCCACCAGAAGTCACTTTGTAACTGTCTAATGTGACACCAATCCCCCAGGTACAGAAAGACCACTCATGTAACCCCGGCAACTCAGGAAGCTGAGGCAGGAGGATTGCAAGTTCAAACCAGCCTCAGCAACTTAGCAAGACCCTGTTTCAAAATTTTAAAAAATGATAATGAGCAGGTCTGGGGATGCGGGTCAGGGTTAAGCCCAAAGAAAAACAAAAAGACCACTCCTACCAGGCAGCATTCCAAAAGCCTGGAGCTGGGCAAAGGCCAGATCTCTGATGTGCAGGGTGTGGACAGCTCAGGGCGCTGGTTAGCCATCACCTCCCAGGTAGATACACACACCCTCTGGGGGTCACTAATTTGATGTACAAGTTTCTTATAACACTCTTCTGCGGGAGCCGTGCCTTCCACCAAACAGACAAAGCCCCCACACTTTCACAGAGGCTCTGCGAGGGCGTGAGTGGGGCGTTGACCCCACCTTCCTGCTGACTTGGCTTGGTCCTGGGGTCCTCAAGAGGCTGGCACAGCACGGTGGGGCCCACCCTCAGCACGAGAGTCGCAGCTATGATAACAGCGGCTAAGGCGTAGGGTGCTTAGGGTTGGTCAGAACCCGGCCTGAGTGATCTACTCCTCTACTCTCCAACAATAGCTCTGGGAAGATGGCACTTTCGTTATTCTCATTTCCAGATGAGGAGACTAAAGCCCAGAGAGGTTAAGTAACTTGCCTGAGGTCACAGAGAGGGGCTGGGATTTGAGCCCACAATCTGGTTTAACTCCATGTTCTCAATCATGGTGGGGACTTACATCAGAATATCTATTTATTCACCCATGATATTATGTTTCTGAACACCTGGAAGAATTAACTGGTGGCCTTCGTCCTCTATAGGCAGTAATTTCTGGGATGGTGCCAGGTACCCGCTGGAATAAGATCCATGATAGTGACACTGGGAATGAGCAGCTCAATCTGGGACCCACAGTGTTCCAGGAACAGAAATAGTTTTGTAAAGTAAGGAGGTGTTCACACACACACACACACACACTCACACACACACACATGCGCTCACACACATTCATACACACACACACACACACACTGACACACACACACATGCGCTCACACACATTCATACACACACGCTCACACACACGCTCACACACACTCACACAGAGTCGTGTTACTCTTCTGGCTGTGGGGGCACACCCCACACTCAATGAGCAAAAGGGGCCTCCCTAGCCCTGGCCATCCGGCCCTTGCCCACTGCCCTGCCCCTGGGTGGGCTGCCAGGTAACACACAGAGCCCCAGTGGACTCTGCACGTCGGGTGGAACAAGGGTCAGGGGAAGCGTCCTCATCGATCACGTAAGATGAACTAGTGAAAACGTGTTGACCCGTTGTTCAGGTCCCCAGGCCTCCTCGCTGCCTCCTGGGCCTCCCCTGACCTCCCCCTCTCCAGGGACTTCTACTTCCTCGTCCCTCCAAGGCCAGGTCAAACGTCCTGAGCTGTGCTAACCCACCACACAAGCTGGGGGACTTAAAGCAATAGAAAGAGCTTCTCTCATGGTTCCGGAGGCCAGAGTCCAAACCGGGGCCTTGGCAGAGCCCTGCCCTCTCCTGAACCCCCCCCCGGGGCGGGGGCTGGGCAGGGTCCTTCCAGCTTCTGCCAAAAGCCTTCCTTCGACTTGTAACCCCCTCGGTTCGGTCCTGGCCTCTGTCTTCACTTGACCTCTCCTCTGTGTGGGTCTCTGGGCCATTTTCCCTGCCTCTGGTGTCCTCATAGCAACCTGTAATCCCCGTCCCTCTTTCCCTTCTCCCTCCCTTCTTCTACTAACCAGCTTCCACATTATTATAACAAAATACCTGAGCTGGTGAACTTATAAAGAGAAAAGGTTCTTTGAGCTCAGAGTTCTGGAGACCTCATTGCTTCGGGCCTCTAGTGGGGACCCCAGATGGTAACAGCAGGGAGCCTGTGGCCCAGTAACCCACTGACTTCATGATCCAGGAAGAAAACAGAGACAGGGGACGGGTCAGAGTCTCCTGTCCCCTCCAGGGGCTCTGCTCCCACTGAGCGGGGGGCCTCCCGCTGGGCCCCCCCATCCCAAAGGCTCCCCCACCTCCCAACAGCACACCCTGGGACCAAGGCTTCTTGACTCGCAGGCCCTGGAGGGGGCTCAGCTCTTCCTTCCTTCCTCCTCCTCTCTTCCCCCGTCTCCCTCCTCCCTCCCACCCTCCTGTTTACCAAGGGCTGCTCCTGGCCAAGCTTTGCGCTCCCTGAGGACCAGGCGGACGTGGACCCGCTGCCAGGCAGGCGGTGCTCTACCACGTCTCTGTTGATGGTCTTAACCCTCCGGCTCCACCGGGCACTAGACTGTAACCCGGCCCCTGCCGTTTCAGGCTTTGGAAGATCCGTGCGAATATTCTTGGCCGACTCACAGGGCTTTCACCGTTTCATGGCCAACGACTTGGAACACGAGGACGTGGTAGAGACAGCTGTTTTTGGAGCTGAGAACAACCTGATTGTCACTGGGTCCCGGGATGCACTCATTCAGGTGAGGGGGATCCAGAGCCGCATCCTCATTTCTTCCTCTGGAGTAAAAAAAAAAAGTGACTCTTTAGGAATCTTTTGTCTGCACAACAGGAAACCTACAAACATGAGTTTGGGCAAAATAGGGCAGTTCATGGGAGGGTATGGAGGTGTCTGCTGGGCCCCAACAGCAGACCTGGGTGGGAACTATACAAACCCAACGGAGGAGGTACATTTCCTGATTAGACCTGAAAAACTTTGTCTTCCAGGGTAGACCAGGGTTGCGGCAAAGAAAAGTTGTCAGTGAGTTCAGAGTTGTGGAGGCTGGTGAGAAGAGCATGTGGCCATGTATGAGTTTTCCAATCCCTTGATTCAGGCACTCTTTATTTTTTATTTTTTGGGGGTACCGGGGATTGAACTCAGGGGCACTCAACCACTGAGCCACATCCCCAGCCCTATTTTGTATTTTGTTTAGAGACAGGGTCTCACTGAGTTGCTTAGGGCCTCGCTTTTGCTGAGGCTGGCTTGGAACCCGCCATCCTCCTGCCTCAGCCTCCTGAGCCACTGGGATGACAGGTGTGTGCTGCCACACTCAGCAAGCCCTCTTTATTTATTTGTTTGTTTATTGATTTAGGCACACTGGGGATTGAACCCAGGGGTGCTCTGCCACTAAGCCACATTCCCATCCCCTTTTGAGATATTGAGACAGGATCTCACTCAATTGCTGAGGCTGCCTTGAATTCACAATCCTCCTGCTTCAGCCTCAAGTGGCCAGGATTCCAGGCACATGCCACTGCACTGGCCCCTCCTGACATTCTTAAAGGTTATTAAGCACCTCAGAGAGCTTTTGTTTATGTAGAATTTTATATTTATATGCACATTTTACAGTTGCATTTTCTGTTGCTATAATGAAACTGCTGATGCGAGATTCTTTATTTTAAAAAAGAGGTCATAGCCAGGTGCATGGACGTGACTGTAATATCAGGCACTCGACTCAAGAGGCCGAGTTAGGTGATCCCATGTCTGAGGCCAACCTGGGCAACAGTGAAACCCTGTTTTCTTAAAAAAAAAAATGTTTAAAAGGGCCCCTGGAGTAGTTGTTTAGGGATATTTTGTGTGCATTTATGTAGCATGCGTGCACACACACGCACAGGACTATTTAGCTTTCAGTTTTAAAGACCCTCAACTCTGGTGAGGTCTGCCAGGCTGTGTCATATCATGGCAGATGGCATCATAAGGGTCCCCTGAGAACTACTTCATCTTTTCTCACTGGAGGATGGTGCCTCCGTGACAGGCACCTCCACTAGGCCCCACCTCTTAAAGGCCCCACGCTTCCAAACATGAAGCCCTGGGGGACTAACCACAGCACTGTGTGTGTGTGTGTGTGTGTGTGTGTTCTGAGGCTCACCAGACATATGAACGATGTCCTGTGGAATGACCTTAGGTTTTAGGAGAGTCACGCAGAGTCCCCAGTGTGAACGTGAAACCACCCCTTCGTGCATTTCGCCATTTCTCAAGACCAAGAGATCAGCATTAGGACAATCCTATGAACTGAGCTCAAACTCTGATCTGATTTCCCCAGTTTTCCCTCAAAAGTCCTTTTTCCATCTGGGATTCAACCTGGGATCCCTCCTTGCATTTGGGATCTCTTCATATTTACCCTCTTAAGAGTGAAGAAGGAGGCAATACAAAAATATGTAGCCAGGAATGCATTAACATGACATGTTCACATGGTAACACACTTTCATGAAAACTGTCTCCTGAACAAATAGATCTGTGCATATGTATGTCTATATGTGTGCATATTCATGAGGAGTGTGGCGGCTTCCCATTTTCTCAAACCTCCTGAACATTTGGCGTAGTGGAAGACAGCCTGGATCCTCATCTTCGACTCTGCGTTCTTACATTTGTTGTGATGTCAAGTGTCACACAGCTTCTGGAAAATTCCCGAGTTTCTTTGTAAAAAGGAAGGGAGCAGAAAAGATCCACAATATCTTAGAATTATTATGAAAATAATTTTGATCCTTGAAGACCCTCTGAAAAGGTCTCGGGGGGCACCCTTTGAGAACTGCTGTGATTGCTGGTGAGGTTCGGGGGGGCTTGGGGGCTGGGGAGATAGGAAGACCTTTTTTTTTTTAAGAGAGAGAGAGAGAGAGAAGGAATTTTTTAATATTTATTTTTTAGTTCTCGGTGGACACAACATCTTTGTTGTATGTGGTGCTGAGGATCGAACCCGGGCCGCACGCATGCCAGGCGAGCGCGCTACCGCTTGAGCCACATCCCCAGACCAAGACCTTTTTTAACTTGGGTGGCCAATGGGCCTAAGGATGTCCCTGATCTGGTGGCGTGAGGAAAACGTTGCCTTCCTGTTCTCTGTGCTCAGGTGTGGAGTCTGTCAGAGCAGGGGACCCTGCTGGACGTCCTGGAAGGTGTGGGAGCCCCTGCAAGTCTGCTGGTCCGCGGAGGGGCCCTGGTGGCCTCTGCCTCCCAGCAGTCCTCATCCTTCAAAGTCTGGGACCTCACCTGCACGCAGAGGCCCCGGGCCTCGGCTCCCTTCCTGGACCGCACGGGGCTCACTGCAGTGTCCCACAACGGAAGCTACATCTACTTCCCCAAAATCGGGGACAAAAACAAAGTCACCATTTGGGACATGGCAGAAGGTTTGTAGGATACGATGTGATCATTTCTGTGGGTAAGAACTGAAGACCCCCCGTCCCCCATCTTAGTTAGGCTGCTCTAACGAATCTCCATGAACTGGGGGCTCAGACGCAGACATTTACGGCTCACAGTTCTGGAGGCCAGAAAGTCCGCCATCAAGGTGCCAGCAAATCTGTGTCGGATGGGGCTTTGCAGGTGGCCGTTTTCTCGCACCGTCCCATGGCAGAGGCCAGCGTGAGAGAGCAAGCTTTTGTATCTCTTCTTCCGGGGGCACTGATCCCATTCCCAGGCTTCACCCTGTGACCTAGTCATTTCCCAAAGGCTCCACCTCCAAATACCAGCACATTGGGGGGGGCGGGTTTCCACGTCTGAATTTGGTGGGGGAAGGACACCAACTTTAGTTGATAGCAACCACAGGATCTTCTACCTCTAGGTGAGGGCACCAGGCTTTTGGGCCCCTCTATCAGGCAGTCATTAACTATGGGCTGTCCTGTGAGGGGACAGACCCGCAGACATCTCCACATGAGTGGATGCCTTCATGAGATGCCGATTTTCAGTAGAAAAATGAAACTGCGGGCACCCCTGGGTCCGGGGGGACTGGCTGGAGAAGGGGTCTCTGAGCCCATTATCAACAGTACCTCCCACCTCCGCACTGGAGGGGTCAAGGCGTAACATTTCCTTGTTAAGGAGAAAACAATACAGAGAGGAATTCTGACCCTCGACTTCATTCTCATGTTCATTCTTTCTTTGATTTGGCAAACAGCCTTCGAGTGTCAGCGGGCAGGTGAGGGGGGAGTTGGCAGCGAGCAAGTCAGACAAGGCGACTGTTCTCAAGGTGGTTATCTGCTGGTTCAGGGGCGAAGCAGGACACAATAAATGGAGAGGGGTGTGGGATGGGGCAGGAGTCCACAAACGACAGCCCCGGCCTGGCTTGGACACCCACATTCAACACTGACTGTCTACAGCTGCTTTTGAGCTACAGAGGAAGGGTCCGGCTCTTTCCATAAGTTTGTAAAGGACAAGTCTGGGGTCAAATCTGGGTGGTCCCGTGAGCCTCAGAGACTGTGGGAAGGAGCTTGCATCGTGTTCTGAGGGCTGTAGGAAACCCGACAGCGTGCGGCAGGACAGGGAGACGATGCCCTTGGCATTGTAAAAACCTCCCACTGTTGAAGAGCAGGACAGAGTCAGGGAAGCTTGCAGTCCCCAAGTTGAAGAATATGGGTAACGAGTTTTAAAATCCTTAAAAAAAAATAAGAAAACCAGGGAAGCCGTGCCCCCACGATCCATTCTCAGTGTGGCCCTCTCCCTGTGGCAGGTGAGGAGCAAGATTCCCTGGACACGTCCAACGAGGTCAAGTGTCTGGAGGTCGCCGAGCAAGCCCAGCTGCTGTTCACGGGCCTTGTTTCCGGAATTGTCCTTGTGTTCCCCCTGAATTCCCGGCAGGACGTGATGTGCATCCCCCCTCCAGAGGCCCGCAAGGCCATCAACTGCATGTCCTTGAGCAAGAACGAGGACCGTCTGGCCATTGCCTATGACAACATTGTCCTGGTGCTGGACATCAGCCCTGGAGACCCCTGTCCCGTCATCGATGGGCCAACATACACCTTTTATACCCAGCTGCCTGAGACCATAGCCTGTGTGGCCGTTTTGACTGATTACCGTGTGGTCTACGGCATGACCAATGGCGACCTGTTTCTGTACGAGTGTGCAAATTCCAAGGTGTTCCCTTTGGAGGCCCACAGGAGCCGAGTCACCTGCGTGGAGGTCAGCCACCAGGAACAGCTGGCGGTCAGCGGGTCTGAGGAAGCCTTGCTGTGTCTCTGGGAACTGGAGACCTGCAAGTGGAAGTTCAAGATGAGCTACACGGTGCGTGACCTGCCCCACCACATTCACACCGGGTCTTGGCTTTAGAGAATTGGTAAAAAGCTGTCATTTATTAAGGGCATACATGTGCCACTGTCAAGGGTGGTGATTAGGGTGCCATAAGGGAGAGAGACACTTTCCTTGTAAACAGGGTTTAAGGGGATGTCAAAAAACTCGGTAATCAGGAGGAATAGAAGTTGAGTGTCCCTTGTCCAACACACTTGGGACGGGAAGTAGTTTGGATTTTGGGTTTTATCAGACATTAGAATATTTGCATATCTACAGTGAGATCTCTTGGGCATGGGACCCAAGTTTAAGCAAGAAATTCATTTATGTTTCACATATACCTTGTGACTTCATGTCAATTCTCAAAAAGTTTCAGATTTTTGAGTACTTCAGATTTTGGATTTTTGGATTAGGAATGCTCAATGTGTAATTCCCTCTTCTTATTCTGAGATCTAACCTGGGAACCGGGAATGTTTTTAGCCCATAGATTTTAACTGAATGTGATCATAGTTAACACTTAAGCAAGGCCACTTAAGAAACTGAATCTTATCATTCAGTCTCCGGTGCAAAATGGAGATAACCACTCAATACATAACCACTGAATCCAACGTCAATGAAATGACAGTCCTGGGGAAATCTGCCCTCACCCCATCTCTTCAGGTTTTCCTTTGGTCCATTTCCTGAGGAGGGCTTCAGAGCCTGGCTCTGTGGGGTTGGCCTCCTGGCTGTGTTTCAGTCTGGAATCAGGATCGCACGATCTGTTTTCCACAGAGTTCCTTTTGCAGAGGAGTCCAGTGCGCTTGCTTCTCCAAGGATGACAAGTTTGTGTACGTGGGCTTGAAGGACCGCTCCATAATTGTCTGGAGCGTGCTGGATGGTGAGTTATGTTGCTGTCAGGGAAGGACTGAACTTTGATCTGGAGAGAAAGGGCCTTGGCTCAGCAGCTGGGTCTTGAGCCCTTGCTCGGGACTTCTCCAGCTGGGTCCCTCAACTTAGGGAGGTGTCTACAGGCCAAGGGGATGGGCCCACAACCTGCCTGTCAGATTCATGCTCTGAATGGACTTGACCCCTCTTTAGGGCGTGTGCACTGTCCTCCTGCCTGGGGGCATCCTCTGGGGATGGACTGTGCCCCCCCCCCACCCCCGTGTGTGTGCACACCTATGCTTGGGAGGTGGCCTTGGGGAGGTGTGGATGGAGTTTGTGTCAGAGCTGGGGTGAGGGATTCACATGAGGCCCCTCAGGTGTGGATGGAGCTGTGGATGGGAAGAGAAGAGGGCCAAGCCACACACCATGGGGACTGGCTCTCCCATGCTGTCACCTCCCAGCAATGAACTCTGAGGTGCCCGAACCTGACCTTCCAGGTGGTTCTTAAGGTACCTTCTTCAATGTAGAAGAGTAGAGTATATTTTTACTAGTTTATATGCCAGCTTTGCAATGCTTATATATTGTGTCTTACAGGAAGAGGACCTTGATTCGTTCATTCTCTTGCCCCAATTTTTATAAGTGTCAGGGACAACCTGTTTTAAGACCATACACTTTGAGAACCCCAATGTCTTTTGACCTTTTTCTTTATTACACCAAGGTCATAGTCACAAGATAGCATTCACTATGTATTAGGCACTGTTCCCGAGAGAGTGAGTTCTCTCAGCAGTTACTCCCATTTTCCAAGCAAAAACGGAGGCTTTGAGAGGCTGAGTAATACAGTGGGCAACAGGGAGGCAGCAGCTTCAACTCGGCTCTCCTGATTTCAGGCCTCATTTTTTTTTTGGGGGGGGGGGCGGATCTCAGGGATTGAACCCAGGGGCATTCAACCACTCAGCCACATCTCCAGCCCTTTTTTAATGTTCTTTTTTTTTTTTTTTTTAAGAGACAGGGTCTCACTGAGTTGCTGAGGCTGGCTTTGAACTCATGATCCTCTGACCTCAGCCTCCAGAACTACTGGGATTACAGACATGCACCACTGTGCCTGGTTCCAGTGCTCACCTTTGTCACTTTCTTATGCAGTCTCCTACAGAGAAGGCTCTCCTACAGAGATATCTCCCTATGACATCAGTAGGCATGCCAGTGTCATTGCTAATCTTGTTTGACAGATAAAGATGCTGAGATTCAGCATGGTTAGAGACCAAAAAAACAAGTAAGGGTTGGGGTTGTGGCTCAGTGGCAGAGCGCTTGCCTTAGCACATGTGAGGCACTGGGTTCAATCCTCAGCACCACATAAAAATAAGCAAATGAAGGCATTCTGTCCAGCTATGACTACAAAAAAAATTTTAAAACAAAAATCAAAAAACAAGTAAGTGGCTGAACCAAGATCATGTAGACATTGTCATCCGATATATTATAGTGGAACACTGTCATCTGAGAACATTGCAACCTAACACACTGTCATCTGATACATTGTAGTTCTAACACACTGTAGCAAAGATGCCTGGCAAAAAGTCACACATGGCTCAGACGCTGAGGGCTGAGGTCTGTGACCTTAAAAGCCCATCCTCATAACCTTTCATAACTTTTCTTTCTACTCCCCCAACAATAATATTGGCCAAGCTTGTTCTGGGCCAAAGACCTATGGTAAATACCTAACATGCATTATGTTTTTAAATGTTCAAAATTCCTCTTGGAAGATGGGTTCTGTTATCATTCCCATTTTGCAGATGAAGTAAGAGGCACTCTGAGAGGCTAAATGTCCCATCTAAGCTAGTAAGGAGCATGGCAGCCATGCAACCAACACTGGAATGTGTAGCATTGGCCTCCGCACGGCAGATTTCTTATCTGTGCCCTGCCTTTGATCCCCCAGGCACTCTGCTGGCTGTCCAGTTTGTCCATGCAGTGGTAAACAGAATCATCCCCACCTCCAATGGCTTTATTGCTCCCACGAGACATGGCTATCTCATCCGAGAGCGTTTCCACTGTCCTTCATCAAGAGCCTCACAGGAGGATCCCCTCAAGAACTTCAAGAAGGCAGTGTGGATGGTCAAGTCCAGGCAGAGAGAAGAGCTGGCTGCAGCTGCAGAAACACCCCAGGACTTGACATCCCAGTCGGCCCAGGGAAACAAATCCAGATCAAACAAACATTCACAAGTCTGCCTGTTGGTGTGAAACCCCCCACGGAGCGTGAGGTTCCAATGAGTTGGCTCCACCTAATCTGGTTGAAGCAAAAAACGCATTTGCTGCTGTACCTGTGGACCCAAGGCCTCCGATTATGAGACCAGGCCTCGCCTTTTCCATCTTTACATCCTTCTTTCCTCCTTCTTTGGTTCCAGCCTCATACCTGCCACCCGCAGGTTAGCAACAAACACGCTGCCTTCTCAAGTTCAGTAGAAAAGACAACTCCCCTGTCCCTGGAGTTTGCACCTAAGTCCTAGCCCTGGCTGTATAGGCTTCAATTGGCTCAACACTCCTCCTTGAACCAATCACGAGCTCCGGGAGAATGCAGTGCTCTGATTGGCTGGCTTGAACTGAACAGAGCTGAGGGTGGAGAGAATGGCCACTCAACAATGTTGACTGAGAATGGAAGACGGTATTCCTGGGAGGGAAACTGGGATGCTAGGACCAGGTAAAGGAGGGATGGACGAATGTGAGACTGACGTGGAGCACAGAGCTTTACAGTCCACGCAGCAACAGAGGCTGTCGTCTGATCCTCATCACAGTTGATACCTTAGGGAGGGCAGGAACTGCTGTCTCTGTTTTACAAGTGAGGAAACTGAGCCTTGCAGAGGTAACTATGGTTTGCTTCAAGTCACAAGGCCATTGTACAAAAGCTCTGAGAAATGAGATTCAGGAGCCTTCCTTCCCAGTCTTGTTGGACTACGTCTCCTGCTTTAGTCTTGGAAGCATGATGTATCTCCTCCATGGGGCACCCTCAAATGCCCACGAGGGCTGGTCAGTGATGGTTCCCACACACCTGTGTGTACGTCAGGGAACAACAGCCTGGGGACATGGAGATACACATCCTTTCACAGGTGGGCATGAGCACCCCGACTGTAGCCCAGAATGGCCATGGCAAAAGCAGCCCCCCCCCCCCCCCCCGCCGTTGTTAGATCTTCTTTTCTGAAAGCCAGAAATTGAGGCTTTTATGCAAAATGTTCCTGCAGTTGGCTCAAATTTATATCTAGAGGCACATTTGGCCTGTCTCTAAGTTCATGAGCTGACTTTAGGACTCAAGCTGCATTAAAGTAATAAACATGTTAACAGGTTATATTCTTCCAGCCCTATTCCCTGGCTCCCAAGCTCTAAGATAAAGATGCTTTTTTTATCTTGAAAACTTGAGGCTTTTGGAATCAGGCAGAGAGAGAGAGAGAGAGAGAGAGAGAGAGCGAGCGAGCGCGCACAGGCGAGCAAGCGAGAGCTGTTGACATCTCTCTGCTTTGCTTTTGGACCATCTGCCTGTGCAGGTTCAGCAGCTGAACTGATGCCATTTCACTCAAATGGATCTTTCCTCTTTGCCCACAGCCTTCTAAAAAGCCCTGCTTCCTTCTGAAGCCTTTGCTATAAGGAGGAGTCCAAACCTTTGTGGTGCTTGCTGCTCCTTCTCCCCTCCGTTGGGTTCTAGACACTCTCAGGAAGAGCAACCTTAGAGGATGAGGCTTTCCTTGTGGGGGCTGATCAGGGTGGATGCAGGCCTCACAGGTGCTCGGCAGGTGCTATGCCACAGAGTGACAAGCTACAGCCCCCCAAAATGAGGCTTTTGAGTGGACGAGACTCTACTGACTATAATGTTCATTTGTTTCCCAAACCAGGGTTCCAAGTCAGGCTTTGGCAGTTCTGTGAATGTTGACATCCACTTCCATTTTAAAATATCTAAACGGTGATCTTAAAATGTATGCTCAGGTGCATTGGGCATCAGCTTTCTTTTTAGGTTTTTAAAAATTCTATTTTATTTTTACTAACATGTATTAATTGTACATATTATTGGTGTTCAGTGGAATATTGCAATACAGGTATATAGTGTGCAGGAATCAAATTCAGCCTCCCATAACCACCCCCTCCATCCAACCTTCATGACCTCTAGTAACCCTGCACTGCACTCAGCACATTTATTTTATTCTTTTAACTTCCATACATGAGAGAGAATATGCAGCACTTGACTTCCTGTTTGGCTTGATTCACTTAACACGATGTCCTCCTGTTCCCCCATCTTCACCCAAATAAAAGAATTTCATCCTTCTTTATGGCTGAATGATACTCCGTTGTGCATGAATACCACATTTTCTTTGTCTACATGCATCATGGGCACTAGGCTGAGTTCATACCTTAGGAGCAGCTTTTCAAGTGTTGGAAATCACTAATTTAGGTTTGCCTCATCATCTCCATTTAACTAAAGAACACACTTAGCTTATGAGGGGACCCTTAGTGGGGAAAGTGACTCTTTGCCAATGTGTCTGTGCCTCAGGTGTTAACTCCCTGCAGAAACTAAGTGAGTGCTTAACACAGTGAGATCTCGTCTGCAACTTCTGGTTTAAAACTTCTGTGTCCATCTCAACATTTTTGATGGGTTCAGTGAGAAGCAACCGCTCTGCAGTAAACACAATCACGTGTCACTGGACAACAGGAGCACACTCTGAGACGCGTTGTTAGGTGAGTCCGTCCTCTGCGAACATCATAGCACGTTTATGCAAACGACAGCTCTGATGTCACTAGGCCATGCAACCTTTGGGGATCACTGTGGTACATGTGATCCATCATGGACTCAAATGTCATCATGCAGCATGTGGCTGTACTAATAAGAACTAATAAAAACTAATAAAGGGCTACTCCAAATGGTTGCTTTTATATGCACACACACACATATATGTGTGCATATATACAAATACATATGCAAACTTGCACATATATTCCTGTGTATATGCATACACCTGTATATATCTATATTATGTGTGTATGTGTGTATATATATACATTTATACATATGTATACATACACACACACACACATATATATAATTTTTTGCAGTAGTTTTCATTCAACAGACTCTGGCTGGCGGCTATGGAAGTTTGACATTCACTGTGCTTCAGAGAAGACTAGCTGATATGAGGTCTCCCAACTCCCCAACATCCATGACAACGTGGTTATTTGATCCCCACCTTTAGAATGGAGGGGGCACTTAAAAAAAAAAAGAAGATTGAACCCAGAGGGCCTTAACCACCGAGCAACATCACCAGCCCCTCCTCCCCTTTTGAGACAGGGCCTTGCTAAGTTGCAGAGGTTGGATTCAAACTCACAATTCTCCTTCCTCAGCCTCCTGAGACACTGGGATTACAGGCCTGCACCACTGTACCTGGCTTCAAGGTGAACATTTTTAAAAAACAGACTTTATTTAATTTTTTAAGCAGCTCTAGGTAATGTTTCTCATTTCCCAACCCCCTACTTCCACACATTCACAGCCTCAACGTTTATCATTTCCCACCAGAGTGGGACATTTGTTATAATGAAAGGACCTCCACTGATACCCCCTTGTCCCAGGGTAGACGTTTTTCATGAGGCCACCTCACGGTATATCAGCTTTTTATTGCTACATAACAAATTGCCACAAATTTATCAGCTTCAAATAACATCCTCCTATTATCTTATAACTCCTCAGGTCAGAGTACAGGCCTGGCCTGAACAGGTTCTTTGTTCAGTGACTCACAAGGTGTCAGTGAAACTGGGTTCTCATGGCAAAGCTCAAAGTCTGCATCCAAGTTCATTCAGGTGGTTGGCAGAATCGAGCTCCTTGGTGCCGCAGAACTTGGACCTCAGGCTCCTAGAGCTGCCCTTCTCCATGGGCAGGTGGCCAAACAGCTAGTTCCTTCTTGGGCACCAGCAGGTCGCTCCTCAATGCCCCTTTCAGTCTCTGATCTCCAGATTATCTTTTAAATATGCCCTTTTTAGGCCAAGCCCACCCAGAGTGATCTCTCTTCTGATCAACTCAAAAACCAACTCCTATGTATTTGCAAAAATACTTTCAAAATCCCTTCACCTTCGCCAAGTAGGGTAATTACTGTGGTTTGGATATGGTCTGTGTGTGCCCCACATAGCTTCGCATTCTGATAGCTTGGTTCTCAGTGATGGTGTTGCGAGGTGTGGCTCGTCTCCGAGGTGGGCCTAGGAGAAGGCAGCACCCTTGGAAGGCATTACTTTAGGTCTCAAGGAGTGAGTGAGTTGAGAGAGTGGATTGTTACAAAGTGAGGCCACCACATACTCTTGTTCTCTTCTGCATAGTGCTCTTCCCTGCCATGTTGTGATGCACCAAGGGGCCCTCACTCCTTGGTACCATGCTGTTTGGATCCTCTAGGAATCATGAGCCGATAAACCTCTCCACATTATGTTACTGGCTTTGAGCACTTTGTTATAGCAACAGAACATGGACTAATAGATTTCCATGGGGCATGTGCTATACTTTGGATTTTAAATGTCCCCCCAAAGTCCACATGGTAAAGGCTTGGCCCCCAGAGTGGCACTAGTGGGACATAGTGAAACCTTTAAAAGGTGGAGCCTAGTGGAAGGTCTTCTGTGTCTTTGGGGATGTGCCTGGGTCTTTGCTCTTCCTTTCCTTTTCACTCCTGGGCCATTAGGTGGGCTGTTTTGTTCTGCCACACACTCCACGGGGCCCCAGGACCAACCAATCTTGCACTGAATCCTTCAAGTGTGAGCCAAGATAAACCTTTTCTCTTTGTAAGTTGATTTACCTCAGGTATTTGATTCAGTGACAAAGCCGACTGACACACAACATGCGTTTGGGGGGTGGGAATCCTGGGAGCCCCCTTAGAATTTTCCCTACCATAACACATTCTACACTCCAGAGATTTGAGTCATAAATTAGTAGGACTAGATTGGTTCACAATAGGATCTTTTGATCTTTTCAACTTTGCCAAAATATTCTCACACTAAAGATCTATCTTTTTTCAGGGGCTGGGTACCAGGGATTAAACTCAGGGGTGCTCCACCACTGAGCCACAACCCCAGCCCTATTTTGTATTTTATTTAGAGAAAGGGTTTCACTGAGTTGTTTGGCACCTCGCTTTTGCTGAGGCTAACTTTGAACTCACGATCCTCCTGCCTCAGCCTCCCGAGCCACTAGCATTATAGGCATGTGCCCCTGAGCCTGACTCCCGCTAAAG